AAAATATACCCATTGCCACTTTTCTCTGATAAGCAAAATCAGTTTCTGTAGAGTTTGTTGTCTTTTGAACAGGAAGAATGTGAAAGTACCTTCAAGGAGGACAGGAACACACCTGTGCCATAAACCATGTCAGAGGTGCAATCTATACTTATTTTGCACAAAGTAACACACGCCACAAGCTGCTGTTTCAATTTTGACTTCGCCTGATCCGCATTTCTCCCAAGACTTTTCAACACTCTTAGACAGAAACAACACCTGGGCAATATGCCTTTAGTTAGATTTTAAGCTTGATTATACAATTACAGTCTGTCAGTGAGCTTCCTGGGATGTCAAGCTGTTACTAGGTAATAGACAATATTTTGCAAAAGAAAAAAGAAAAATTACTATGGGAAAAAAGATAAAGAACCTGCCTTCCCTTTTGTTCCCCAGGTTAGTAGTGATATTCCTTATGAATACTTTCTGCACTCAGATTTTTCTAAAAAGTCTCATTTATCATAGGAGTCTTTACTTAAAGGAAAAAAAAATGAAATCACAACTCAAATCATCCAATGCCTCATTGAAGAGGACATGCTTTATATAAGTTTCTTTATGATCTTACTTGTTTTCCTTATTTGTCAGAACATAAGAAAAGTTTGAGGATTGCTGACTTTAAACCATCTTCTCTTAACTACTCTAACTAGCAAGCATCCTGTAATAATACACCTATAAACCACAGGAAATGACAAGAGAGAGAGTACAAGACATTGAGATATGGACCATGTCAATCGTATTCTTTGTTCTTTTTTCAATTTACTTCACTCTAGCCATCATTACCATATGGTAGATGCAAACTTTATGTTTATTTACAATATGTCTGTGATTACTAAGATTAAACTTCCATTCTGTCTCTAAGACCTCAGCAGAAAGTTTAGGAAAGAGGAAAACAAAACACATTTTATTTCCAAAGGCAGCTTTACTCATCAGCACGTTTTTACATCTGACTGTATTTTCACCAGCAGGCAGATACTTTCTGCAACGTAAAGCACCTCCCTACCTACTGGAAGTGAGGATGATATGCGATGTCTCTTTGTGAAGACAAAGATTAGACTTGAACTTGAGCTATCATCTAACATGGAAAATAAATATTCTTTAGAAATAACATGTAGAGTAATTCATGCCTACTTGATAACAGCAGTATAGCTACACCTACTAAAATTCCAGTATCAAAGATCTTTAAGCCAAACAGACAAAATAAGTGCAGTATAATACTTCAACAGGCATTACAATATATGTAAGATATACAATACTTCGGTAAGCAGTCCTTTGTCTAAAAAGAATTTTTTTCTACCATCATTCTCCATGCAGCTTAATTATAAAATTAGTATTCTGATTAATCTGAAAATATAGGTGAAGAAGGTAACCTAACTAGTTACTCCAGTGACTTGACTTCAAATGCCTGTGAGAGCAGAGCCTCACTGGCTCCAGTGAGCGTGGACCAAAAGGAAGGCTCTACAGAAATGACTGTGAGTGGCACTGCCGCACCAGCGAGGAAAATGCTGTCTATGAACTTCCACCTACACTGTTTACCAGGACACCTTCTTAGATACAGAAACATTTGTGAATCTCCACCTTTGTCTCCGGTGAAAGGGATACCACGGCTGAAATGGCTATCGACTTGTCTCACACATCAAAGGTAATTTAATTCTGCAGGTCAGTCCAAAACGGATCTTTACCTAATTTGAGTCTGTTGATATATATATGGATTTTTTGTTAAAGCTTTAAGGAAAAAAATAAAAATCAATTGAGATGCTGAAAGCATTTATTCAATTTTCCTACAACAAGGTACAGTATTACCTTGTTAAATGACTGAACAAACTTGCCACTCAACCCAAGAGATGCAAGACACCTTGTTCCTTTTTTTTTAGTAGTACTAACAAAGTTTATAAGTGATTTGAGATGAGTTAACAAAGATAACCAAACCAAGTTTTCTAACAAAATGAACTATTCACCATTTTATAACGGGTTAAGATGATTCTGATTCTAGCCCATTTACAGCTGTTGACTGGTTTTCTTGTGATTCTTGGTTGTTTTTTTCTGTTGTTTGTTTTTTTGTTGTTGTTGTTTGTTTGGTTTGTTTTTTGGGGTTTCTTCTCCCAGTAAAACAGTAAACCCCAAAATTGTGGACTAAACAAAACAATTACTGTAGTACAAGCTTTCAACATTGTCATATGCATCCAGTAGATTACAGTATCAACAACTGCTTTATGGAAAGTTCCTCTGTTCATCTCATCTTTAGGGATCCCGTATCATGTATTATTTTTTGCACAAATTTAGTAAGTATATTCAAAGGCTGATTTTGAAGCAAAAAGACTACATCTGAACTGCTAATAGCGGTCAAAAACAGCTGAGCAGACAGGAAAAAAAAGTTTACATAAAATAAAAATACTTGGGAGATCTGAACAACTTGGCTATCTTTCTGACAATTCGTTATTGTGTGGGTCTTCTCTTGTTTTTTAAAGGAACAAGCACACTGTAAATTAACTTAGAGGACCCAGGAAAACTGGATCTTTTCTTCTCAAAACGTTTGAAAGTGATTTGCATTCCTTGTCAGAAGCGCTTGCCTTACTGCTTCAGTTCCAGCTGTTAACACATTTTAAAGCCTCTGTGAATAGACAGCCTTGAACTTACATGAGGGTAAAAGTCACAATTAACCAAGCTGCAGTCACTGTCAGAGTTAAGAATCCCAATAACTAATTGCTGCATTTGATCTAATAGTGATCTGTCATAGAACAACTACGCTTTTCACACAAAGAAGGAACCATTATTTATACTTTGTAATGGAATTTAGAAGTAACCACATGGATCTAATTCACAGCTCTCACAACTTCCTTTTAGATATTGCTTCCTTCCATGATCTCCAGTTACACACAATGCCATCATGCTTTACATAATCTTGATTTTTAACTACTGTACATCAGCGAACTGTAACATACTTTTTAACTGTAGAAAAGACTTGTTGGATTTCAATTCTGTATCATGATTTGTTATCTCAAGAAAATTAGATGGGAAATTTACATGGAGTAGAAGAGTTTTAGAAGTGTCTGAAATACTCAAACCCTGCTATACTAAAAAAATCCTTTACAAGTATTTTATAGAACGTGATGTCCTACTATCATTAATTACAGGAAACACATACCCTTGGACAGCACTTCTAGAGAGTTTACTACCAAAAAATGCAATGCCATTGAGAAACAAGGATGTTGCATGTTCATTAGCAAGCACTGGGAAATTCTGTTTGATAAAAACATATCGAGCTCACAAGAGAGCATTCAAGGCAAGAATGAACACTGTCAAATGACTAGTGGAAGGTGTCCCTGCCATGTCAGGGGGTTGGAACAAGATGAATCTTAAGATCCCTTCCAACCCAAACCATTCTGGGATTCTATAATCAAACAACAGGGAACTCTGAATACATAGTGATTAAGATTAAAATGCACAGCAAGTCTCAAATATACTGATGTAAACATGAAAGAACCAGCAATTCTGGAATTCAATGAAATAATTTGTTTGGTTTCTTGATGACTATTTCAGTTAACAACAAACTTTCCCAAAAATTAGCCTCTGCTCTGCCTGTAGTTACATACTTCAAATTTCCTAGGATTTATGTAGACTTTGCAATCAAAAAAAAATCTTTCCCTCCCTTACTGTATATCATGCATTTTTCCAGTGGGTAGCCGGAACTAAACAAGTCTTCTGTATAAAAATAAAATTCATAGACAGGAGTTGCACACTGCTAGGAAGGTCTCTTCCTGCAAAAGAAGGTGGCTCTACAAAAATGTAGTTACTCCCAGAACTTGGTAGGTATTGAACCATTTCAGTTGGCTACTTTAGGCTTTTTATCTCCCATGTTATATGTGAGTTACCTACTCAGTCTTTGTAAGGCATTTAGGGAACAGAGGTGAGGTTCAAACATTGATATAGAAAAAGAATTAGCTGTCATTTTCTCAAGAAAACAGTCATGTGGAGGGAGGGCTGTCATCCTTACCACAAAACACAGCATTTGTGGCCAGCTCAGCCTTCCCAGAAGTGAAATTGAACAGCTATACGAACTCTTTGTATCAACTTGAAACCAAGAAAGTCTGAACAGAAATGCTCAGATTCTTGAAGGCAACAGAAAAAATTTCTTCAAGTCACAGTTTAGTTTTCTTTAGGGAAATTATATTAGAACATGAAATATTAATTTAAAGATGTTGAATCTCTGCTTTCATAGCTTATTGAAAACAATGAAGAACAACCTTTTTTAGAGAAAATCCGCTGCTGGAATAAAAATTACACTGAACTAATTTCCATTGGATACAGAGGCTCCACAAAGTCCTTTGTGGAACTAAAATAGATAGCCCTTCACTATATATCAGATTATAAAAGAGCCAACATTTGTTTAAAATGTAAGTGCAATGAAATCTAGATGAACAGGGATCCAGTATTTTCCATGTCAACTGTTGCTCAAATACCAAATGGAGAAGAATGACTCAAGCTGGAGTAGAGGGACAAAGTCAGAATTATGGGACATCAGTCTGTTTTCACAATAAACAAAAATTTCTTGGTGATGACGATATACCAGTCTACAGGTTTCAAACCTTCAGCAGACCGGTTTTATAAAACCATCCATGACTTACAGGACTCTGGACTAGATGAAACAACATTTCATGATATAGTCAGTGTTGATTGCTTTGGTTATCAAAGGCTTGATGAGGTGGGAACACTGTCCTTACCTAAAACACCCCTTGGAACAGAGTGCTAGGGCAGACTGTGCACTATTGCAGGGATGATAAAAAGCCATTCTGTATTTATGGGCAGACGTGCTAAGTGGTCTCAAAGTACACCCTCCTATCTTTAACTTCAATGATTCTAGAAACTGATCAAAATTTCCTGAATGGTAGCAAGTGTTCTCAGGTCAGACACAAATAAGTCATCACAGGTGACTGAACATTTCGTAATGAGATGACCTGCTATTCAGTTACCTTTTTTACTGTCTTGTCGGGTTCAAGGGCAATATCTGGAATGTTGGCATCCACCATGAGAGAAAATAAGTTCAAGATCAAGTTGGAGTACCTAGAAAGAGCAAATTACGTAAAACACTTTGTAAACTGTAAAAAAGACATTTTTGGTAAACAACTTAAGAACTCATCATCTTAAGAGTGAATTGGTAATTCTTCAGAAATCCATTTGCAACATTGAATTTATTGAATTGAATATATTTATGCTAAGAACATAAGATATTAACATTAATCATCAAAGTTTAACCCTCAAACTCTTTCACACAGCCAAAACTGAATAAATTGCCCTGATTTTGTTATAATTTTCTAAAATTACTGGAACATTTACTCAGAGACACATCAAACATAAACTGTGATTTCATATATTTTAAGATTTAATGCCATTTTCTACCTCAAGTAGGACAAACATTTGCTAGAATACTGATTCAAAGGTTATTTTTTATTAAAAAGCCATACAGCAGGATGATATAAATTAGCATTCAAAGAGCTGAACTCTTCATAATTACAAGACATGATTTTTCAAGTCACTCTAAGGGCTTTTGACATAACAAGTTAAATATTTAACCAGATCCAAGTCTTCAGTTGCTCAGTTAAGCTCCAATAACAGTGGTAGCATGCTACACTTACAAAGTACATATGTCATCTATAACCATTAAAACAGACAAGGCAGAGAACAGTTTTCAGCTTTGAAATGGTGTTGGGAGCACTCAGAACTGTTTTTTTTTAAAGAAAGCCATTTTGCCCTTGCAGGCAATTAGCTGTAAGTTGCTTTTTGAAAGGGTAATTTTCAAGCTGTTCAACATAAACTGAAACTCCCCTTCCTCTGCAAAGAGGTCTAGTTCTCTTAAAGAGACAACATACGTAACAGACCTCAAAATCTGAAATATTGCTTTGCTAAGAGCGTCAGGAACTTCACAGATGACAGAAAATGAATTCTTAGCAGCAAACACTGTTTATTAGGAAGCTGCTGAATGTATATAAGCTGACAATTGCAAGTACAAAGTATTTTAACTATACAAAATGATTGCTTCATGGGCATATTTTACAAAATAAATACTGCTCAACAAAACATCTCTCTAGAAATAAAGTGTAATTCAATCAAACATTCCTGACACTTAATTATTATCTGGAACTAGCACTATCTAACACATTCCAATATAAGATTTAAGGTCTTATAACACAAGCATTTAAAATAAACTGTTAGGCCAGAAATCTTCAGTGTCTAATTTGTTTCAGCTGTTCTGCTTCACTTTTGCTGGGGCAAGGGGCTGGAGTGGGGAAAATCACTTTTATCACAAGTTAAAAGAAAAGTGGAAGAGTTATTCTACCATTCTGCTTCAGATCTGGATAAGAAATCTGGCAGTCAAGTTGCTTTGCTGCCAGGAACAGACGTCACAGACAGTAATGATTTTTTTTTTCCCCTAATTGCCTGAAACAAACAAATCTCACTTTAAACATGCTTAAATCTTACAGGTATGCGCTCTCAAGTCCCGTCATAGGTTACTGGTAGTAGTTTTACCTTTGAACTGACCCTGAGTCCCTTTTGCTCTTGAAACACATAGAGGACAAGGGCTTATGAACACTTCATGTGGGTTACTGGAGTTATTTATTTAATGGAGGCTTGTAAAAAAGATTTTAAAGGTCTAGTCATCACTGCTAGATGCCAGTTAAGAGCTGGTTCTGTTCCCCACAATCAGGTCTTTTGCTTCTTAAAGCATAAGATCATATGAAGAACCTCATTAAAGAAAAAAAAAAAAAAAAAAAGGAAAGGTAGTATCAATATTACAGTATTGAGTAGAAAAAAACTCAGATTAAGAAAGAGTTGCTCACTATACTATCTGCAGGCCTCTCCTCTGCCCCTCACCCCAGCATTTCTGAAACTCAGTAGTCCACTGCCATCCTTCTTACAGGCTACATCTTTGGTAAATACGCCATGAGGTTCACAGCTGGTGAACTGACAGCCCAAATTCATCCTAAGAGGAGACATTCTGCTGACCCACCTGAGCTAGGAGGATGACCCATAAAAAACAAACACCTTTGTCAAGCAAGTGGTATCACTCATCTCTGACATCTGCATTACAAAGTCCTCCGGAATGGCTGACTTCCATTCACAACCAGAACAAACTTGGAGACAGGAATTCCCAGGTTTAAGGAGGGTCAGTTAAGCACCTAAATCCAAACCTAAATCCTTCTCACATAATTCTTTGCTCTCCTCAAAGCTCAGCACAAGCTAACTTAGGAAACAGATGAGCACTTGGCTACACTGAAGGTTGATTAACTTATGACTTGAACATGAAGGGCTCTTAAACTTTAAGAAATACAACAAAATAACTCCTACAATAGAAAAGGCCTCATGTATCAAGAAATAAATGCACAACAGACAGAAGTATAACTTCTCACTGCTGTGTTTTCTGAGAACAGAAACTTTTAAGTGTTTAATATCTCAAATAAATGCTTGATCCTAAGCATTCCTTTATTTCTTTTTTCAACATTTACTTAGCTCCTTTGCATACAGATGTCCTAAAGCAACTAAATATTCAGCTGCTGACACTGCAAATACTCTACCAAACTTGAAGCTACAAGACAAGGACAGGAGAGTTTACAGTTATTTGCAGTCCCAGATTAGGGCCCTGTTTACCTGGTCTAACTCAAAAATTCCAAAGTTTAAAATGCAATTGCCTTTTCTTCAGTGTAACCTGGGATCGCCCCATGGCTCACTTCTTCTCAAGACTACCTATACTCCCCAGTCAGCATTATGTCCAGTTGACTTTCATAAATGATACCAGCCACAACTTGCCCTGCAACACATTCAGAATGCAGAGGCTGCTCCTTCATTACAGCACTGCTGACAAACACACATAACTCAAAACTGCTGTTCAAAGAAGTAGAAAGTATTTCCCCAACTTCCCCCAAAGCCTCCAGACAAACAAAAAAACCACACAATAATGACCATGATGATAATGCCAAAATGCTTACAATCTGGATCAATGAACAGAACTATTGTTTCACTTGTAACTTTTAAATTCCTTGTATTTGTTTTCACTACGCAACAACCATTCTAATAGAAATCCCGAAACACCGAGATACAGTACCTGACATATGTAAGGAACTGGTTATACCTCAGCGAAATAAACAACAACAATGAAACACAAACTGGGGGACATGGCATAGTTTGCATTTTGTCTTAGCAATCAGAGGTTATGGTTTCACACTACTTGGCCAGAAGGTGTTTCTGTGAGTGGGTTTCTTCCAACATGCAGAACTGTTAGAGCTAAGCTGCTCCACATAAAATTATTATTTTTTTTCAATAAGCAAGTAAGCTCAATAATTTTTAGTTCTAGCTGCTTGAACTAAAGCTACAGTAAATCTAATATTATCCTATACTATCTTTGTTGAAAGCCTTAAGGATGTTTATGCAGAACCATTTAAAAATATTTCCCTATTAAGCTGAACAAATATTGGAGAGACTATAATTACAACTACAATCTCAGACATTAAAAATGAACCTATCTTGATTTACAGTTTAGGTTGTATACTCAAATTACTGATATACTCCACACTTAATGATCATCTTTGTAGCAAATCATTACATAAATTAATTCAATGAATAATCCTTCACTGATACAACAGACCTTTCCATTGAAACAGCTAAGTTTAAACAATCAAAACAACTTAACTATATGACAAATAAGAAATAAAGCATTACAAAACAGCTTTAAGCAATTCAGAAGCTGGAATATGCATTAGCCTTTCTGATCGTTCTCTGATGCCACAAGTATTGTTTGCTGAAAACATGCCACTGTTTTTTCAAGTTGTTGAATTGCTCTTAAGCCGTTAATAATGTTAGTTCTTACATCATCTCCTTACTCTTTCTCCTTTTAACACGTGGAGAACTACATGCAGCATTTTTTTTTTCGTATCATTGACTGACTGCTTTTCATATTATATTGTACTTTTCACATATGTTTTCAATATTACTGATTTTTTTTCCACATATTTGCAGGTTTGCATTATGTAATCTTGATATTAAAGTGAGATTATTTCATCTCTATTGAAGATGTGCTAAATCAAATCCCTGGACAGACCAAGAGTGCTTACCTGTGTTCTGTTTAAACAGAACAAAGCTGAGCTACTTGTCTCAGAAAGTTGATGGTAAGTAATAAAGTCACTGCAGAAGAATGAAGCTGATTCCAAATTTAAAGGATAGAACTGTTGGTCTGTAGATACACAGAGTCTAAGGAGGTTTGAGCTGCCACAGTTCTGGGTATCTAAAGAAATTTCCAACATACTTGATTGTCACTACAAGTAGCTAAGTTTTGTCCCATAGGACCTGAAATCAACTAAGCATATGTGTGTGTCAGCTTCAAGCCAAAGAATTTGATCATCAGTAATCTAAACTGGAGGAGGATAAAGCAGCAAATGAGTAATGACTTAAGAGTTAAAATGACAGTTACTTGATCATCAATAACCAGAGGAAAACATGCTTAAGGGCAAAAACATATCCAAGAGAGAAATACATAATTTGACACCCCACTCAAGTTCTGAAAGAAAGCTATTTAAGTTATTAAACAAGCAAAACTGGGGGACTTAACTCGAAGAACAATTACATTCAAGATCCACCAGCGCTATGATGTTTTCATTCCTTTGTTTCATACAAATTCTTGAGTTTACGTTCACACTTTAAGCAAGTTTTGTGTTTTCAACAGAAACATTTAAGTGATTCATTTGCTCTTCTTCTCTCCTGCTTTTAGGATGGCTCTAACAAATTTCAGCACAGAACTTGCCCTGTTACCTGCGGAGGTGCAGGAAGGCCGTGTAGCACTGCTTGCGGAATTCCTGGTACTGCTCACTCTGCGTCCCTCCCATGCCTTCCACCATCTCCTTGTTCAGCTTCATCGGTGGAGGAAGGGGCTTGGGGTCCCGGCCCAAAATGTAACCAAAGTCAATGTGGAACAGTTTACCTGCAGAAGGAAAGGCAAACACGTCACATAGCATCAGTTCTTGATGCAGTGGCTCAGAAAAACAGAATCCTGAAGTCCAGTCTCTGTAGACAGCACGGAGCTCTCAGAAAATAAAATTCACTCTTTTCTGTAAGGTTTATAACAGTAATACTATCATCCTCAGTAGTTAACTTGAAATTGTGGTTTTCAAGAGGTAAAGCTGATTTCAAATTCAATAGGAGTACTAAAAAGCAAGATCACTTTTTTTTTGATTTTTAAACACAGGGAGTATATTCACAAAGACTGAACCAATATTTGAAACGGGTTAGTAGATATTTAATGCTAAGTTTATATAATAGATACTATTAAGTCTTTGCACTGTCTTTATAATGTATTAGCAAATTAAAATAAATACTAAAAGCAGTGTAATGTGTGCATGCTGTTTGGTTGCTGTGGCATGGAAAAAGGTAAACTCAACACAGAACTAATACAACAAAGGGAAAATAAGACTCAGGATCCTAACAACAACCTTTGGAAGCCACTAAATACCAAAGAAGATTTCAATGTGGTTTCAAAAGTCTTGTGAGTAACATCAAAATTTATCAACAGCTTGGAAATATATTGAAGAACAATCACAAGAACTCCAAATCTAAAATTGCACTGCAAATGAACCAAAGTCTGTCATGCACTCTTTCTGTCCTAAAATGAACTACATCACTTGGTCATTACCTTTTCCCTTCTCAGACCAACTGACTACATTTAAAACATTTCTGCAGCATTCATGTGACAAAAACTTGTATACACCTCCTGTCTTCAAATATACAAGGCAACTTCCCTTCCCATCAAGAGCCTTCACATGGCCAATGCTGCTCACCACAGTGCTCACACCTTTACTGGGGAGAATTCACTGTATTCCCCTTCAGTAGTACTGAGCCAAGTGGGAGATGCAACAAGTGGCAAAACGGACAACTGAACTTCAGTTGCTAAACCTCAGTTTACCAGCAACTGCAAAAAACCTAAAATATCTAAATATAGTGAAGACTAAATATTATATAAATACACAAACAAAAATGTTGTTAATAGAAATCAAAGTCGGACAATTCATAATTCTAAGGATGCCATTTTCAAGGAACATTCTTGATTTACTTAAAAAAGCAAAAAAAAAAAAAAAGATTTTCAAAGTGTTCTGCAAATGTTTTTTTCAGTTTGAAATGTGTAATTTAATTGACTTGGGCCTTAGCAGGACTACATGACAAAAAAATGGTGAGATTGCAGATATTCACACAAGTACAAGATAAAAGATCTTCTAAACAAGAACGTAGAAAATTATTAGCATGACTGTTCTCCAGACAGACAGCACAGAACACAGGGCCTTGTTTCAGAATTATGGAACTGAACAGCATTACACAGGGATGCCTTTGCTAAGAGGTGTTTTAACCTACAGCACCTGTATTTACTGAGATTGTCATAAGATTAAGTGCTCAGCTCTCCTGAAAAAAAGAAAAAAGAGTCAGTATTTTTCAGTTAGTCACCACTATGACTATTTCACTGAGTAGTAAAGTAGTTTTAACAGAGAAGGCTGTTTCAGGTGTGTCATAAGCACTTCTTCAACCCAAGAATCAAATTTCATCAGTTAATTTTCTATGGGAGATCATGAGGAACTTTAAAAAGCAAGGCAAAGTACTTACTGATTCATAAATGGCATAACCACTACATTTTGTGTAACTCATCTGTGCTATAAAAACTCTTCTTTCCTTCAATATATTTTTTCTGTGGTGGTACAGGAGTTACTTTTAGAGATCACTTTTGTACACCAGCTTCTTGAAGCAAGAACATACACAACCTCTGCTACCATGAAGTTACAAAAAATGTTTAATTAAACAGTTTTGGGGACCTGTTTTCTGTTCACTTATTCAAACCTGTCGCCTTGAAGAGTCAGGAGACAACATTTTGAATAAAACAGTGACTCTTGTGGCAGTATTTTTTTTTTTTTTAGTTTACTCTGGAGATAGGGAATAAAAGATGATAATTAATAATTTATATAGGTAACAAAGACACACCTAAAACATTAAAAACATTTCAATAGTTGAGTGATAAACACTTAGAAAGTATGAGATGAGGCCATCCTGCATTAACATTGCAGTTTTACTAGCTGAACTTCAAAATTCAGCAGATTTTCCAGCTGACTGAAAAATGTACCTCCAAAGCTTCCATTTAAATGCATTAAATATATTTAATACTTTTCAAACACGTGAACTAAACACAGGCCTGACTAATTTTAATGCAGCTCCTCCAAGATCAACTAAACTAGCCCACCATGTCAGAGAAAACGGACAGAGGGCTCTCCCTGGGGCCTGCCCGAAGCTCCTGCACCAGCACAGAGGGAGCAGCCACAGGGAGGGAGAACTTCAGTCCCAGAGATTTCCACAGAGAAACCTGACCCATGTTCCCCTCAAGGACTTAACCACAACTGGAGACGTGAAGAACAAGCCTGCTTTGGACAAATTAAATTGGTTGCAAATTTAATACTGCCAATTAGGTGATGTTTATGTTCTTACTTATATTAATAAATAATAAATAATAAATTTATCAAGGTAATAAATTTGATGCTTTGAAATCTTTTAATACTAAGAAAAAAGGTTGCAAGTATCTTAAATGATCATCCCACATGAAATTCATATTAGTGTATAACCCTCAATGTTTTTTCCACTTTCATAATACTAATGAATGTGATATTATCACTCAGCATAAGCCCTATCGCAAGAACAAGGCTGGAAAAATTTTCTGTTATCTGTTAGACAAGGTTTAGTGCCAGAAAATACTAAATAGTAGCAGACAGAGCAGGATAAAAATAGGAATCTGGACAATGCAGTCTATATAAAGCAAACTTTTGTCTATTATATGAACTTCAAAACAAATTAGAAAAAACCAAACCAAACCAACAAAACCAAAACGAAAACATAAAAAACCCCCACTTTTCTCTAGAAATTACTGTACCAAATATACATTTCTTTAAGAAGACAAAATATATTTAATAAGATTTTTTATTCTGTAAGACTTCACTTTTCACTGCGAAAAGCTCATTGTCTTGTAGCATAGCCATCACTCCTGATACGTGTCTTAAGGATGGGGGCAAAACCTGCCAGGAACAACTTCAGAATTGTTTTTTCGGCAAATCTAAAGATATTTGGTTTTGTTCATTTGTTTGTTTTTCTACATTACTCAAACATTACTCATTTGAAATTTGTCAGCCTCAGGTAAGAGACTGCTCGTCTAGCAACCATAGCTGAAAAACACTCTACAGCAGAAGGAGCATCTTGTTTGGGCAGGCTTTCAGCGAGATTTTTAGTTCTGGAGTGTCACAAAATTTGTGCAGTCTGTATTTGACAGTTTCTTAGTTATGTAATATGGTTGGCAAGAAGCACACATACACTTCTCAACTGAATTTAGAAGACGATTCTATGAAACCTTCATTTCACAGAATCACAGAATGGGTGAGGGTGGAAAGGACCTCTGGAGGACAGCTGGTTCAACCTCCTGGTCGAGCAGGGCCACCCAGAGCCAGCTGCCTTAGCCAGGACCGTGTCCAGGCAGTTCCTGAATATCTCCAGGGATGGAGTGTACAGCCTGTACCAGTTGCCTCACTGTAATCATTTATACTGATATCATGGTATTTATATACAGTTATCACCTGCATGCTCACTAAATTAGACTGCATGTGACCCTTGTGTAACACCACCTCCTTTAAAGGCTTTGAACTTCCACGTTTTATAAAACAATTACTTGTCCTTCCTTCAACAGACAGTGTGAGTGTCATAACACATACACTTCTATCTCTTAGGCCATCATGTTTTGCCATGATCCAACTTCTTCAGATTTATTAGATCTTAATTAAAAGGGCTTTTTATTATTAGACATGCCTATAAATTACAGACAAAACTGGACCTTTAGCTTCGGTTCATTACTGTTCCCAAATGACTGCTAAATCATATGGGGGAGATTTTTTTTCTTTTCAGTCATGATTTAAACTAAAAACAGGAGTTATTTAAGACAGAAGGTGAAACAGATTTCATTCTCTGCACTTCTTAAATTCTTGTAGGGCTAGATATTAAAGGCCTTGGATGTCTAATATATAGACACTGAAATCTTTAGACACTTCGTTAAAAATGAGTTCCTTACAAAAATTGGGGATTTCAAGCATCTGAGAAAACAATTCAGGAAGCACCTTGAGACCACAGAGAGGCATGTGGGAAATTCCAGCTCTGTCTCAAGGCTCAGAGGAAGACTGCAGGCACCTACACAGAGTCCAAGATACAGAGCTCTGGAGAGACATTTCTGGTGTTCAAAGTGGCTCACTCCTCAAAGTCTAAGAGACTTCTTTCAGGAAGCAGGAAAAATCTCTGCAGGAAAGACTTCCTGCAGAGTCTCTTACCTAAAAAACAGTGTCCTAGTAACGTATGTCCAAAGCTTCCATTTAATATATTTTGTATTTTCAAACCCACTCTGAACTCCCCATTTAAAGTATTTTACTGTAGGAAGAGCAGGAGAAGGCAGTTACTGACTGGAAGAGGATAAAAAGCTTGCAGGAATAAGCAATAATGCAGCATGCACACAAAATTATTTCATTCAAAACCTAAAAGCTGATAGTGGTGGGTACTTTTAAGCTTGCCTTTTTAAAAATTTATTTATTTATTTCATGGATTTGACTACATTTTTCTACTGAATACCTGGATTTCTAACATACGGAATAAAGAGGAAAGGCCCTTGGAGACCTCAAGGAAATGGCATGAAACACAGAAAGTTTCCCTGACTAGCAGTCAGGGCCTCAGGGATTTCAAAGTCCATCTGAGTTCCTTTCAGCCTTGAGAGCGATCTTTGATTAAGTGAAGCATGGACCTTCAGAGACTAAAAATTGATACCTGGTGCTTGCAGTAGCCAATAACACCTTACTGCAGCTGGAGAGGCTGATTTGTCCATCACTTTTACTGTTAACACCTAGATTTAGTAGAGGAGAAAGTTCTCATATAGCAGCAACTTTTCCATCTCATTAGAGGGCAGTTACAAAAAACTGCTGAAAACCACTACAGGGCTCTGAAAACCTTAAATAAAATGCAGAAGACAAAGCAAATTAGATGCAATTACTGAAATAAAATAAGCCTGATGACAACTGTCTTTTAACAGTAAAAAAGTCTTACAAATTATTTCAAGTTGCTCTGTTCTTTGTTGGAGGGAAAAAAAACAACCAGCCAAAACAAAACAAACCCCAAGCTCAGTATTTCAGTGCTTTTACTGTAATCCCCAAGTGCCACCATTATTTTAACCTGGCTCATACCAGAAAAGTTTCAATTTAGTGACTATTTTAACTGAATTCCTATTTTTAAACTTGAAACAACAGGATTAAAAAACTCCTCTAATAAAAATGGTTGGATGGATGGGTTTTCTGGCTTTCCCAGCAAGTTCTGATATTACTGACAAAATCTCACCTTTGCTAACAGAGCATTGCCACGACAAAAAAATCAGAATTCCTAATTTATTGTCATCATTTTCATCAGCAGCATGTTACAACTTTTCCAAGACTACACAAAAGTGAAAGTAACATGAGTGTTTAACAACTTATTCAGGATACAGGTTTTAAAGTCATTATGCAGCAACAGCTGGGAGTAAAGCTTATCTCTGTCATCCATATGATGGATAAGAGCTCAGCTTGTCCTGAGGATTGTAACTCCCAACTTCTCCCCTCAAGCTGTCCATTCTCAAAATGCACTCCATGAAGGCATATTATAGAAAAAAAAATATGTTTAATGTATATTGTTTAATAAGAAATACTGTTTATGACACCTATAAGAGAAAATGTTTTAGCAGATCAACAGCTAAAAGTTATGTTTTTTTTGCAATAAGCATCACAGAAAATGGAGTTGCAGAGAGAATATAAAGGATCAAAGTATGTGTTAGTTGTATTTTTTTAAAAAAAGGATTTTCCCCTATCAAGGCCAGTAACATTTGAAAACAAGTTTAAAAATTCCACTCATTTTACATACTATAGTAGTTTGCAACAACAATAAATGTATTTAACAATGTACTTATCTAAACACTGAGATGGAAGAGTTTGAAGTAAGAGAAGGAAGGTTTGAATCCCATAGATCTTCAATTTTTGTAATCTTCAAACCTGCTTTATGATAGATTGTTTTGACTGAAAAGCACTGAAGTACAACCAACACATGGCATCATGTCACATGTGGATCTGGTTAGGTCCTTGCTGTCTTACCTGGCAACCCTTTTAACCAAGACTGAAGAATAAATCAGATGTCAACTGGTGCACTTCACACTGGAGACAGACCACAGCTCTACCTCTGAGCGTTACATAAGAAGACAGTCCAGCCCTTTCACCTATCGACACATGATGCTAAAAGCAAATGTGGGTTTCAGCTTCTGACTGCTCAGTCTCTGTCCTGCACTGAAGAAATTTATTACCTGATTTTATCCATGTAGCAATTTGCCCTCCTGCTACACAACAATTTCAAGTGTATGGCTCTGGTCAAAGCACCTTAACTTTGGGAACCCATACTGGGAACTTGAACCTACACGTAGGTCCCTAAGGGCTATTGAAAGATGAAGATATCCATATCTGGGTATTTTCTCAGTACCTAGATCCCAATCAAAATCAGAGAGTGGAACAAATGCAGAACAAAATGTTTTCAGGTGAAGACATGAATTGCAACACACTAGCCTAGTGCATCTTCCATGAAAGTTAACTGAACAGCTACACATTGTGTATCACAATCCAGCTTCACAATCATACAGCTCTTCCTTCCAAGGCAACAAAGGGAACATTAGCTGTTAATTCAGATGCTGGCTTTGATATATAAACCAGTCTGTAATTCTAAAAGGAAGCCCTGATATTGCTTAAAACTGGGCATTCAGCCGCAAAACAGTGTCTTACTGTTCACAAGGCACAGTAATATTTGCTGCTAAAGATTGGGAAGCAAGAAATTAAAACACAGAGCAATTGATAATGTATTTCATCTCCAGCAAAGCAGAAAATTCCAGGTTTTCAGAGAAAAGAAATATTCTTGTTAAGTAATACCGACTACATAATATGACCTTCAGGTCACCAGCTAAAGCCCTTTCATGAAATTGATGCAAGTATTCTCGTAATTTTAAAATTACTGACAGATAAGAATGTTTTGCCTGAAGGTTTCTCATATCTCTTTCCAAAAAAACTTCTACAGCTGTCCTTGAAGTATAATGATACAGAGCATTTAAAACCCTGAAAATTTAGATGTCCCACTCAAGACTACTAAAAAGAAGTCACTCTATTTCTAGAACTATAGGCATAAGAGTCATAAAGACAGCAGAAATTATTTCATCAAGATAATTGACATGGTCATGTAAAAAATACATCCCTAACACCAAGTGGGAAACACTTTGTTTTTATGAACATCAGTATCTATCGTTTAATATTTAAATTACACTATATCTATTATAAGCATAGATATCTCTATGTTAGAAGGTAGGGCACTAATTCTATTGGAAGGAGTCAAAAAGAGACGTGGCTGCATTCACCAAACTAAAAGGCAGAGACAAAAAATGTTGATGATATTTATTGCCATATAAATCCAAGAGAAGTATGTGAGCCCAAAGCTGGTACCCAGCATTCTTTACTGTACTGAAAGCCTTCAATTCATTAAATATAATGGCCAGTCTTCGCCAACGAAGAACCGGGGAAGGTCTTTCCACCTTCCAGCCTGCGCATTGGATTTTTTAGGTGAGACACAGTGTGCGCGGAACTGAGCCCACCCTTTAATCCTGAGGTTCATCTGCCAGGGCCAAGCGAGCTTGGACGGTGGCAGCGAGGTCCTCAGGACGTAGATGGATTGCCTTAAGGGCTAACGAGCTCCATCTGCCCGGGGAGTGACCCTGACCGGGAATCAAACCCAGGCCTCAGCGGTGACAGCGCCGCGTCCTTAACCACTAGACCACCAGGGGCTCCCTAATTCATTAAATAAATATCATCAAGAAAGGATGCATATAGGGTTATTCAATTTTGAAGGAGGTACTTAGAGCATGGATCCTTCAAGAGAAGAATGAAATTATTTTTTCCCAGCTTAAGGTTAGGGGATTCTCAGTAGCAAGACACGAGCCTTTGCAGCAAGTCTTTGTTGTATTTGGAACACAAGGATTTCTCACAAAACCTCTCAGTATGTGGCAGAGCACGTGCAGTCAGGCTGGGGATGTACAGTGGGCATGCACTGCCCTCTGCTGCACTCCCTAAACTCTTCCACTAAGCCACTGTGCTGCTACTCTTTCACAGAGACAGGCAAGATGCATTTTACCCCAAATCAAAACCCTGAACTATTACTACTTCAGCAAGCAGAGCCTGCTATGGAAAGATTTACACCCATCACCACTGCTATAATGACAGAGACCTCCCAAGACACATTTTTAAATTACTGTTTGTACATTTTCAAGCAGATAAGGAAAAAATACACTTCCTTCAGTTGTTCCCCCATGAGCTTAGAGAAAGACCTTTTACCCTAATCAAGGCCCAGTGTTAATTTTCTACTCTTTTAGAGTAGGCCTGTTCAAAGCTTCAGCCTTATCTGTAAAACTAACAAGCTTCCGGTGTGAATGCACTTCTTTTTCCAAATAACATTTTTTGTTTATATGTTTTTCATTCAATAAGCGTTTCACTTTATAATAAACATTTAACCCCAACTCTTAACTCTCCATCTCTATGTACTGAAGTATTCAAGGCATCAGAACTCCTAGGGAAGCTGTAGTTCAGAAGTAAGCAAGCAAGTAAAAATAAGCCCAACACAAAAACTGGAAAAAAAATTCCCATAATAAATGTTATTTGTAAAAGCTTTGTGAGGTTTAGGCAGATATATGAACTCATTTTCAACAAAAACACTTGCATTTCTCCCCACCCCAAAGCATCGATTCTAATAGTTGAAGTAGCTTATCTTTCAAATCCTTTATTTACTCTAGTTAAGAAATCTTCTTCTTAATCATTGGATCAAATATTACCTTAAATGTTACAACACAACTTACATATTAAAATATATTCTAATCTACAACATTCAGTGGGTTATACTCACAGGGGAAATGGAATAAAAAGGTGCCAACACACTAGAAATTAAACAACTGCTGCTATAAAATTATACTGCTAAAAAGAATCACCTGTTTTTGTTAGCAGCAGATTATCCAGATGTCTATCTCCAACGCCAAGGATGTAAGTAATCACGCAATAACCAGCTGTAACAAGTAAATTGTAAACATCAATGTAAGTACCTTTCCTGGAGAGCAACAAGTTCCACACAATTAACGAAAGTATATGACATTATCTTAACTCTTGTTCACTGATAGTAAATACACCACAGAGACTTGGGCAGGAATGGTGCTGGTGAAGAATAATCAAAATTATCAGCACCATGAAGAAAATTTGAATAAAACACTTGAAATTTACTCACTACTGCCCAGATTTTAATTTCTTAATACAAAATTACATGTTTAACACTAAAAAGACTAAATTGGTTCAATATTGGGATTAAGATACTTCAAAGGAAGCTGAAATATTTTGAGCAAAATGACTGTAGCTATTTTGAACTGAAGATATTGTAAGGGCACTCCAAACAAGCGTTAGACACTGATATGAATCTGGATGTTCACGTCAGCATCATTCACAAGCCCAGCAGTAAAAGTTTGGCAGTGAAAAAGAGTAAACTCTTTTAATTGTTACTTTCACCCATTAACCAGAACAGTTTGAAGACCCTGATGTTTTCAAAACAAATTAAAATTTCAATACAAAAGAATTGTTACATAAATGCTTTAGATCTCCCTGCATTTTGAAGACCCCAACTCACAATGCAGAGGGGGCAGAGGTAAGCTTATTGCTGGAAAGTAAAGAGTATTTAACTTATCTTCTCCTATAGAAGTACAAAGAGAGGACTTTTGTATGATGTGCTGGGCTCAAAATGATCTTTTTCCCAGGAATTTTGACAGCAAGTACATGAACAGTGTCCTGTTTGCAGTCATCTAAACTGAAATGTCTTAATATCTCATCCCCTCCATCCTTCAGACTTCAGGTATGAAGTTATCAGCTGTAAGACTGTAACTTACCACAGCTCTTAACATATGTGTCCATCACCTCTGCACTTATCCCATGAGGGCCAGTGTCACTAGGTGCATGTTTCCTAAAGAAGTTCTGGAGAGAATGTCATGAAGATATTTAGTTATTCCACATGATATGAAACTGGGTCTTTGAAAAAAAAAATTCTGAATCGAGACCACAAATGGCCATTATTAAAACCCGTTTATTGTTTATTAAAAAAAACACTCCTAAAATACCTACTGAGATTTTATTTAATATTGCTTTACTTATTTTCTGCCTAATTCATCACATTCTTACACTTAACACACAAACTGAAAAGCACTTTTCTTTATTAAATGTTTCAGAAAATTACCAATGCATTGAAAAGTTACTAATCGATGAGTGACAAAACTTCCCAGGCAAATTGCTTAGGTCAGATAAACAAAAACTAAACCAGCATTAAGGGTCCTGCTTTGTAACTTCACTTGGGAAGCACTCTCTGCAAGGTTTATCATCATTATATGTCTCCCTATTCCTCAGCAAAACCAGGTGCTGCTACTGAGTTTAAAAAGAAAATAAACCCAAGCTATTATAATATCACAATTTATTATAATAAAAAATTGATGTTTCATGTGAAATGTGGACAGGGCCACCAGCCAGAAGAAAAGTGATTTTGTCTTCTCTAAGAGAAAAGACAATTAAATTAAATCCAAGCCTAATCACAAGGTCATTACAGTAAGCAAAATCTAAGCAAGTACTAAGGAGGAGCACCTAAGAGGAGCATAGCAGTCATCTGGATGCACATAGGTGATTAAAATCATTATGAAAAAATTAGGACAATTATTTCAATGAAATTCTAAAACATGAACTGTCATTTTAAGATTGTTGTTAGAAGGTAAGTAACACTCAAATATCAAAACACCTTCTCTTTCCTGCAGATCTGCATTACCAGCCAGTATTGGATTACTTGCTTTGAATCTTTTCAGAAGTTAATGTTTATATACAATGCTCATCTTTATTACAACAGCTGTGAAATCTAAAATGAACATTTACAGGAGGAGTAAAACAAACTTTTACAACACCTAAAAGTGTTCTTTTAGTTTTTATTTCCCTGGCCTACAATGCCCAGCTCTTCTATCATACCTCATCACAGGAAGTCTGGGCTTATAATGTATTTTGCCACTGATCAGTGCAGCAAACTAAGATCTCTCTCATTCTTTCTGTGTCTTGTCTGTTTGGATTAACAATTTTTTACAGGAAAAACTGCTCCTATGTGTCTGCAGAGCAACAAAAATACCTATTTCCTATTGGAATTTGATGTAGTAAGTAATTGCAAAATGACAGTTTCACAAGCATTTCTAAACACATTATTTTATAAAAGCACATAACAAACTAAATTATGAATAGTACACTTCTAAGATTACAAAGGATTGCCATGAAAACGCTTTATAATCTGTATGATTATTGACTGTGCAGATGAAGTTTGCCACAATCTTTACGGAACGGAAAGCTACATAAACTTATTCAACTTGATAATAAATTTATGCTGCTCATTGATAAATGGTAACCATTTTTTGTAAGTGATAAGCACTTGATATTCTTATTTGTTAAGCAAATGATAATGACCAATGCCAAGCAATTTTTAATCTCCATATTTTTAAAATATGTAGTTTACAGGAGGTGGGAGCTAGTATGCTTTGGCTCACTGTTACTGAGCTTTAAACAAATGCAAACTTCAGTATCAACTACAAAAAAACTGAAAACAGGTACTGTGACAAATTGAATCCAAATAAATACATTCTGTTTTCATTAAAAAACTTACTAGCTATTTACCTCATATGGCAATTCAGTATGTTTTTATCTAGCTATATTTATCTCAACCAGCTGAGCTCTGCTACCTAGCTTGGCTTGTGTGCTTGGACCTAGCATGAGTTTTGTGTGCCACTATGGTTATGTGTCCCTACTCGATTCCATGAGAATTACAGAAAGTTTTCTAACAAAGCCAAGTTACAGTATTTTTCATCCACTGTAGCAAGGAAACGGTCTTCAGAAATATGAACAAACTAGTTGTTACATCAGAAGAATCATTACAGCATACTTTGACAAGGTGTCAAGTCAAAACTACTGAATGAATGACAAACACTGTGAAACCAAAAAGAAGAAAGTGTCCAGTATCTCCCATTCATCATTACAGCGAAGCCAGAATTTCAATTTCACAACTAAATTACACTTTAATTATTTAAATCATATTACTTTTAGAACACAAGATACTCAAGCAGTCATTTAAGTATATGTTTTTAAAGCAAAACATCTGCTGTAAATATCCTTAATGTTTCAAGCTGTAATTTGTATTCTAAAGACAGATTAAAAAAATGAGTTAATAGACTGAAAGAATTTTGTACAAGACCTACCCCTGCAAGATACACTGTTTGATCAGAAGACGACTTAAAATCCCTCCACCACATACCTGTATTGTTTCCTCAGTAGCAAGAACTTCTGCAACTGGTACTGACTGAATAAACTGCATGAAGCCTGCGAGAGAAAACAACCAGGTCTCCAACACACAGAACTTTCAAGCTACTCTATAATGCATGTTTAAGAACACACAACGCTAACACACAGTCATTCAACTGCTTCTCATCAGAAAAAAAAACCACGTTTTTGTCCCATGTTCCAGTTTTCTGCCTTCAATAGTTTTAAAACAATTTGTCACCAAAATGAGCCTGCAAAAGGTCTGTTGTTCCAAGTTTTCGTGAGAAGAGAAAGAACCTTAATGGCTTTCTAAACATTACCAAGAATGTATCTAAAAGCATAGCCAAGTTTGATTCTGTTTTGGTTTTCTCCTCAATTTCATGCAAACATCCCCAAATTTGAGTGTTATTTGTTCGAGATCACACAGCAAGCTACCAGCAAAGATTGACAGACTGCTGATTGTCACCTACTCCAAAATCCAGACCAGGCTTCTTTCATTGAAGGTATCTGAGTGAGCTATGGAATCCTGTGATCACTCAGGGTGTTTATTTTCATGACTTGTATTGCAACAAGATTTTGTTACACACTCTCTACGAACACAGGGATAAGTTTCTTTTCCATACTGTATCTTTAGGAAATAAAAGTATTCATACCATGTTTTGTACTAGTTGCCAGCACTTTATAGGGTGTCAGCTTCAAGTCCAGATTCTCTTTCCTTAACAGCTGGAAAAAAAACAACACACAAATGCAAAGATGAATGAAACAGTAAGGCAGATTCCATTTCTAAAAGGATGTGTACTGGACATTGATCTCCACTGTTTCTCACTGAAGCTGATAATGAGTGAAAGCCTGTATGGCAATTCAGAAAAAAAAAAAAATTATAATCTACACAGGATAATTGCATGACTATAAAGAAAAGAGAAAAGTCACCTGAGATCTGAGAACTCTGGAATGTATTAGCAATACAAGCTGCATTAACAATGTTTAACAGTCTTGCTTTGACAAGGAAAATCATGAAAACAGAAAGACAAGGATGGTGATTAATAATTCTCACCTTATCCATGAGTGAAATAATCTGAAGAATAAGTTGATCTTGACGTAAATCATCACCATGCTTAAAAATTACCGGATATTTGCCTCCATCTTCTGTCTTGAAGAATAACTGAGCAGGCATTAGGGCACTCTGGAAAAGGAAATATTCTACTAAGCTGGTTCACAGCAATGCTCATATGAATACATGGCTACAACGGAGTTCTGAAATACAGGTCTTTGTATTGCATTTGTAGTGACTCAACAGATAGAGCACACTATTTCCAGTCACCAAAAGTCTGATCTAACCATGTTTTCAAAAAGGAAAACACATTAAAATGCTTTCCTTCTTTTTTTAACCAAGGAATATGAAGGATACATTCTCCCCTCTGCACTTCCCACAGTGGCAGAAGAGGAAAGAAGTATTCTATTTTTTTTTTCTGTATGCATGTAATTCCAGTCAACAAAGAAGCAGTATACAAAAGGTCACAACAAAACTAATTTAAACTGTCCAGAACAAGAAGATACACAATTATAGGATAAACAACAAAGAACTGCTTGGGGCAAGACATCTTAAACAATTAATTGCTTCCTTAACCTATTGAGTAAAAGCAAAAATGCCTTTTTTTACATTATTGTTTGAGAAAGCCCTTTTAATTGTTTAATATTTTTCTGCGTAAAATGGGTTGAAGAGGATCAATTACCTACATGAAGGATATAATCTACTGCAACTGACCAAGTCACTTCCCTCCAAATCAAAACAAACAAAAATAATCAAGGATACAGGGTTTAATATTGAGCAGTTAGATTAGATTTTCATATACAGTTAATGTTTCAAAATTATTAAGTTCCATAAATAAAGGCAAAATCATTCTTTATGCAGGCCTAACATGTGATGTCCAAGGCACCAGAAATTAGTCATTCTTCCCTTTTTAGGTCTGTTAGGTTTTTTCTTCCCCACAGAGTGAGATATTAAATGGAAATCAGTAACTTTTTAGAATTAGGAGAAGAAAAAGACATCTGAGTTTGAAACAAGCTACATCCCATGGTTTTGGTCCTAAATTTTTTGCATTGCTACAGAAGACCAATATATAAAAGACTGATTCAAGTTTGTTCTGAACAACTTCAGCTGTTATTATTGATAGGAAACATTTAGATGCTGTTCCAGCAATCTTTTTGTCCACATTCTTTCCTCGAGCTTTAAATCACGTTCACAAAAAATGCTGACTCAAATCTGCAAAACCTTGTTTCCCTGACAAAATCTTTCCAATGTTGACTCCAACTAAAGGTGCAAGAGCATGCATACCCTTCAAAGAACAGGTATATAAAGAAGCAAGATAAAGCTGGTAGAAAACTATGCAAAAATATTCCGATTTTAAGTAAATACAAATCATATCACAGCCAACAGGCAGCCTGATGAAACTACTGAGCATAATAAATTCAGGGCCTAGAAGAGATGACAGATTAACTCTGGCTGTCACAGCAGCTTGTATGTTTTTTTAACTGGAAGAGAATGCCTCCTGGACACAGGCCCAGCTTGTAAAGCATATTTTGGTCATCTTAAAATTAGATTACAGTCACCTATATGAATTGAAAGCAAATTTGTAAAGAGGCCCTACATCACTGTGACCACAGGTAATAACTTACACTTGAAGCAGTATAACAAGCAAAATAACCCCAGCCTGTTCAGCAGCACACTGGCTGTTAAGATTAAGGGATGGTCACATGATCACAAGCAGCTGCTACAGATTGGTTTAAAGAATCAGCACTTGTAGGGATATAGGATCTACCTGTCAGCTGACTGCAACTGCATGACATGGCCACTTCATTGCTTTCTACTCCCTGTGAACTTAAGTTTTATTTTGCGACGGAGCAGATACGCACATGTAGCCGAGAGGCAGCACATCTGCCTTGATTTGCACAATTTTGATCCTAAGTATTCCTGCTGAACACTGGAAGAAAGTTCTGTGAAATTCTGAACTTCATAATCTGTATCAGTCTTATAAAAGCTGCTTTTAAGTTTGGAATTTGAAAAAAAAAAAAAAAAAAGAACATAAAGAGCTGTTTAACCGCTTTCAGAGAATGCTACAGTTACATTTTGCCTCAATTATGTCTGTCCATTTAAATCTTTCAACTAATGTTTCCAAGCTTACTGCTCACAAGATTTGTTTGTATTTCAGCTATGCAGAAGATCTCACCTTGAAGAGTGTGGCTTTTTCAGGGATTATTCCTTTAATTTTCACCTGAGGTTCCAGAGGAAGTGGAATAAGTTCCATATCTGCTAAATTCATCTTTTCATTATCAGCTAACAATGCCTGAAGCCTCTCATTCTAAAAGAATGAAAATTTGTTTAAGAAAAAAACCTACAAAACATAAAACACATACTAGGTATGTAAAACAAAGGATGTATTATTAACAAATATCAATTTATTCAACTCTTTATATGTCCAAGGAATCAAACTTTCACTCATAAAATCCAGGGAAATAAAAATTTGTAGTAAGCTGAATAAGAAAGAGATATTCCATCTGGTGTTTATATAGTCAAGCAATTTTATAAATTAGATACAGATGCTAACTAAATTTCACTATCTATCCTGACATAATACATCACAATAACCTCTGTTACCTTCCCATGCCCCCCACAACTCGTTCACTGTTGTATTATCAGCTACTGAATTACCCTCATATCCTTCTTTTGCCAAAATACCCCAAAAGTGTTCTCAAGAGCCTCTTCTGTTGTTCATCTACAAACTTGCAGAACACTTTGTAACTCTGACCCATTGAAACCTCTCCTAAGTTTGTTTACAATTAAGCAAAACTATTACAGGACAACGGACACTTGCCATAAATCTCAGTTCTAGGAATTTTTAACGAAAAGCTAACATCCTTATTGTCAGATTCTAGCCACAGGTAGGTTTTCCAACCTTTTAGTTACCTTTTTCTTGCGGTTCCCACTTTCACGCTGCACTGCTTTCATTACATGAACCAGCCGGTCCACAAACGTCTGCTGGGCTGCCAACAGCGAGCGCATAACCCTGACAGACTTATCACCCTGAGAGAATGAAAAGAAACAGAATTAGTTCCTTGTTCTGTAATTATTTTATCTAGAAATTATTCCTTTGTTCTTAGACCTTTGGGCTTTTAAGAGCTAAGTGAATAACGATCAATTTCCTGTCAATTCAAAAGGTATTTTCTGTAAAACACAATCAGAATCACTGCAGGTGGCAATCAATTATCTGACCTAACAGTGCACCTCAATTTGCGTCCACAATTTCAGTGGTGAACATTCATGCATGACAAACCTATTCACACAGCCAAAGTAAGATAGTAAGGATAAGTGTGGAATATTCTTATGAAGCGTTAAGAGTCAGATTCAAGCAATGACCCTAAAACTGGAAATAATATGAAGTGTGAGATATAATAAAGTCAGCACAGACTGCACATCTGCTATAAATTATAACATCCAATTCACAGAAGTATTTTTGGCTTCGTTTTAGCTAATTTTTCCTGCTGCTCCAGCACCCTCTGCTGCCGACATACAGAACAGCGAGTGCTGTTTGTGAATTCAACAGATCGGTCTCTCCATTTTGCACTTCAGGGACAAGTCCTTCCAATAAAGAAACAGTAAATAAACCAGCCTGATTACACCAGGCTTTTAGAGGGTTTTAGACCCATAATAAGGCAGAGGATTTTAGAAAGAGAATGTTACTACCAGCAACAAGCAATGAGAAAGAAGAGTTCTCAGTATCTGTTCTTTTCCTTTCTGGCAGTTTCTTTGGTTTTGCTACAAAATTAAAATTCAAGCAAAAGTAGAAGCTTTTATAAAATTTCAATACATGTGACACAGAAAAAAGTTCCATCCTCTTAGACACCTCTGCCTTCTTAAGGAAGGACTACCTCAAACCACTACATATTTGCTTTCACAGAGACATTACCTTCAGCAAAGCCTGACTGAATCTTCTCATCACATTTAAGTACATTTCGTGAGTCTTTGGGTCCCTCTGCTGAGTGTCTTGGTCTTCACACTCCACTATGACGTACCTGCAGAACAAAAACAACCCAAGTTATGCTGTACTCCTGTCCTACACAATTTGAGCGAAACACATTAATAAAGTTGATCTTTGAAGGAGATCTCTAGTTCAACTGAGAGGTGAACCCTTCAAAACTGCATCGTCCCGAATTCCCATTTGGATCAGGAGAGCCCGTTAAAGTTGCAGAGCTATTTCACTTACATAAAGTGTCATCACTCAAACAGGACAAGTCTGAAGTCCATACCACCTGAACACTCCAACCAAGGAGTACAAGAAGAGGAGCAGGCTTTCCACTGTGCTAACGCCCTCGACACAATACAGTGGCTGCAAACTTGCTATTCAAGAACACGTGCAAAACCAAGGAAAATCTCACCCTACCTGTGCCTTGTTTTACCCTCAGCAGTGGTGGAAGTGCCAGGTGTCGCCCCTAAAGCAGCTCTGCAAAGTCTACATTCCAAAGTAACTTTCCATTTCTAAAATTACCAACCAGGTACAAGATTTCAACAGTATAATTTGGGACAGTTATACTGAATTTATGTTTTGACATTAAAAAGTCATTTGGAATGCTTTCGTGCTTATTTCTATTTGCAGCACTGACAAGTAAAAAGGCATTTTATTGGTCAGTTGGTACTTCCCACTAAAAATTTATAATAAACATATAATAAAAGTAGAAACATAATAAACACTGTTCAAAAGAAATTAGCAAGTCAATTGATTTTCAAACACTGCATTTGGATTCAAAAGTGACTCATTCAAGAAAGCGACACGTTCAAAAATTGGACTTGGACTTTGCACTGGCAGCTGGAATTACCCTTTCCTTATGTACTTATGTAGAACTTCTTTGCCACTAAATGACTGTGGGACAAGATCAGAGCTCTGTCATTTGCAGCTTATCAGATTTGACTAGTCTTATTTATAAATACTCAGCATATTACATACACTAAGGCGTACGTAACTTATTCCATGTGTATTATGGAATCTGTAACTAAAGATTCCTTGTAGGACTTGGCTAATATACTATAACACATAATGCTCCCTCATGAACGCGTGTGTAAAAACAAGTCCTTACTTACAAAGTCTGCACAGCTAAACTTCAAGGAAAGCTGGAAGTAATGAATTGAAACATGCCATTTTCATCTTCATTTGTTAAAAGGTCCTAGACAGTTTCTCAAAGCTATCTTGAAATAAGGACTAAGAGTAATGCTTCATACTTGGACAGGTGTCTCATATGTCCACAGAGGAGACAGAAAAAGCAGTAGCAGACTTCTGTGGCTGCTCTTAAAGCATAGAATAGCTTTACAATGACAAGTGACTGAGCAGAAGGTTTGATTTTCAAGGGTTATTGTACTTTTTCCATTGATTATTTTAGGTGCATGCTGTGTCTGGACAGTTGAAACGTACAATTGATCAGGAGCCATGAGGATTTATGGCTACGTCAGCTCAAACAGTGGCTGCAACATTTGTATTTTGTCACTGAGAAATTGAGATGTCTAGAAAGAAAACAAAGAATAAATTGACTGGGGGTTTTGGTTTGGTGGGCTTTTTTTGTTTGTTTTGTTGAAATTTTTTTAAGTCATAAGTCAAAAACTTCAGAGTTATGGATGTTTGAACTTTCTGTAGCCTGAATTTCTGAGATGTCACTGAAGTGTAAGTGAATAGTTTTTATCAGTGAGGTAGAAGCACGGTAACATACCAAATACCAACACACATCTTAATGAACAATATTTGATTTGGTCAAGCACTTGATTTCTACTCACATCAATTCATCCTGCAATTATTTTAGTCATTTGAATTTAACAGCATTTTTTTAAACTCAAGCCAGACATTATCTTTGGTGACAGCAACAGAACTAATTACTCTCCACAAGTGTACATATATCATGCACTTAAATATCTTAAATTCAAGCTAGTAAAAAAAACAGTGAAATAATAAAAGTTAGAAACCCCATTTATAAATTTCTCTCTCAGGATAGGTTGTAGGATTCTTGTAAGAATTTTATAAGAACAGTTTGCTATGTTTATGTCACATTCCGAATTTGTAACTTCTCTGTGGTTAATGTTCTTAGTTAGTATGTTAACATAAGATCTTGTATATTAGTATTTTTAATTACAAGATGCAGCTACAGAGAATATAAATGAGTCATGTGACTTGCGTTTAGTCATGTAAAAGGCACCTACCTAAGCTCTCACTTTTAAAATGCATGTGTATATGCAAGTAAATAGTTTTGTGTGCTGTGCATATGCCCATACATGTACTTTGATATACAGACACTCACACAGCACAGCTCTACTCATCTCAGCTTTCTTCAAATGAGGTAACTCCTATCTGCAAATGCTTACTTGGAAGGCTTTCAGATGACTGGTTTAGGCATCTAATTTAATTCTTCAACCAGTGAGGTGACACAAGATCCTTAGACAAGCAATCCTACATCTCCACTACCTAGATGAGCTGTTCACAGCTAGAGTTCACCCTTAAGAAAGCACACGTGCACATTTTGTGCTCATGGCATAACCACAAATGGAATAAAAAAACCCAAAACTTGGGAAAAAACAAATTAGTGTTTTATGAATCTTCACAAAATACACTCTTGATTAACACTGAAGTGCATAACTTCAATGTTCTAGCCAAAACTATAAACACAAACCAACAGAAGAGTAGAAGATGAACTTTGTCTCCTCCCCAACACCATTAACAATTTGAACGAAAACCTACAGCCTGTAGTTCGGCTGCTTCTCATAACACTCTACTTAATTCCCTAGACATCACCTTTCTTTCTCTAACAGTAAAGGATATTTGTGCATTTTAAAAACAACCTCCTTTTAAAAATTATAATGTCCAAATGTATATTATTTTAAATCTACTACTTCACCCCAAGAGAAACCGAGATTCTCTACTTCTCTAGACAAGTCATCTTTTGCTGAGCACCCTTCTGGGCATTATACTTTGATTTCAATCACATACTGATACAGTATGAATAAATAACCATTTCTAACAACAATAAACCATTTCTAACATACCAGTACAAGTAGTTTGCCAACGTGGAATTTTTGCATGCTCGTGATATCAAGAAAGTGCAAAGGTCTTGCTGGAAGGGATTTAAAAAGAGCAAAATTAAGTTATAAAAATGTCTAAGCACCTGAAAGAGACAAACTTTAGAAAAAATCCCAAATAAACATAAGCAAGTTTTGAGAGATATATTCCCTTATAAAATCACAATCCAACCCAACCTAATATCTAAATCATAATAGTTTTAATATTACTTCAAATCCATCAACACCATTAGAAGTAAAAAAAGGTCTACTACTCCAGTAATATATTTACCATTATTTCAAAAGTACATGATGTCCAAAAATAAACCTTTAATATACAGTTTCTATTTATGTTATTTCCCTCCTATGCAATTATCCCTTGCTGTAAAATTCAATGCCAAAAGACATTTCCTACCCTGTTTTGTATCCAGAGAATCTAAAAATCTTGAAGATGTTCTACATTTTAAGAAAAAAAAAATGTACAGGATACATAGCATTTAGCTGCTTCTTTAAGGTTTAATATTTCAACTAACAAGAAATCTGTGTATCTTTACCAATATGCTCAGTTTGAGTCTTATTTTCTATTCAGTACTGAGACTGATATAGGAAGATTTGCAACAGCAATCTTTAGTTCAAAGGCCAATTAACCTGCATATCATATTAAACCCAGATTCCCTCAAACTTTTTCTACCTTCTGTCTTTCCCTCTGTCCTGTCCCATTTCTATTACTCTTCTTATATTGTTGTTCAAACTGAGAATAATCCTGTGCAGAAATAAATCAACAGTGTCTCAGGTTCGAAAAGGATGACATGCCAAAGAACATGGCTACAGGAAGAACAGACTGCAGAGGCTAAAACACTTGGATAACTGTTTTACATTAAAAAACTTGCTTTAAAACACCTTGAACGCATCAACTATCAATTTTGGATAAGAATGTGATAGCCTTTGCAGTAATATTCTCCTTCAAAGAAGAAGACTTTAATTTTATGAAAAATTCAGTGCCCAGTCGCCCAATTTTAGATGGTGTGACCACACATGGAAATAAATGACCTGTATTGCTCTTTTCTTAGCATCTAGTTCACGTTTATATTCTTTGGGCACTTTAAGTATTCAGCAAGATACTGGAGAAAGACCAAAATACTCATTAATGAAAGTTAGAAACAGTACCAGGTCAATAAAAAAAGTATCAAAAATACAAGATAAATCTGACTTACATCAAGGTTTTCATTTTCTGCAAGCTCTTTTGTCTTAGAAGTAAGAGGTGGAGAGGAGACAGGTGGAATAGGACTCATAATCTGGGAACTACACAAAGGAAAGCATGTAATTGGCATGATTCAAAGTTCTTGCTTGGGGGCCAGGGAGCATGCCTGGAAACAACAATGAATTTCACTTCCACAGCACATAAATTCAGAAAACTGAAAGAGAAGTGTCTTTGAAGATAGCATTCCAACCCTGTTTCAGAACAAACTGCTAAACAGTAACTTTGACAGCTGCAGTTCCTGAAAACAGCAAAAATCTGTGTCTGTGTCTGTACACAGTTTATGGCTGCGAAGGACGTTCACTTACATCAAACTCTGCATTTTGTTTCATCTTCCATACAAAATAAGCAGACATAGATAAGAACTTAACAGATCTGCATTTTCAGGAGAAGCTGTTTTCAAAAGTGCTTAAGATGAAGCTGCTAATAGACAACACCTGCAAGCACTTGTCTCTGGAATGCAGCTACACATTACAGAGCAGATAAATGAAATATTTGCAAGGCAAAATTTTCAGACAGTAAATTTACCTGAAAGGAAGCATGCAAATAGCTCTACTAATGTCTAAGCATCATGGCAGCCTCAAAATACACCACACATTCCAGGACACCCACTCTACAGCTCTGCGGAATGATTAATGAAAAGCTGTAGAATTGTAACATCAAAAAATATACCCTAATGATACAAATGATGAGAAGCTTAAGACTAAAAATCCTGACAATTTGTAATAGATATTCACAGGAGACTTTGGTTGACTAGGTTGGTTTACACTTTGCATAATACTTTCTTAATTAGATATCTCAGTCTTTGTTCTGCATTCCTGCAAGAATAAGAAGTGTGATTCCCCAGGTCTCTCCCTACACCACCTTTTGCAGAAGTGGGATGAAATTTCTTTCCATTTCAGATTGACTGCACTTCAGATATACATTCTGTACATGAAAGTAGGAACTGGAGTCTCACAGCACTTCACTGAAGACATCCTAATTTTTGCAGAAGGAAGCAACAACAGTGTTTTTCCTGCTCTTCAGAAGCTGTCTTCCTTTTCTGCAGTCAAGTGAAAAGGCCACAACTTCAAGATTAAGAATGTTTGCTCTGTAAACTATCTGTAACCGGGAAACACATTAATTTTCTTTTTCTGTCACTGCTTCAGATTATAAAATAATGTGTTGAATATGCAAAGGTCCCAAAAAAGAAGAAATTATTTGATTGCTTAGAATGTTGCATGTTTCTGACTTTCGGCTGGAAGTCTAAGCTTCTTACCTGTCTATTTCTGCATTAGTTCCAGAGGCTGACATAGTTTCTGACATTGAACCTTGACTGTCCCTTTTGCTAGGCTCTAGTCCATTTTTTATGTCATCAAAATTTTCATATTTCAATGCCTGGACTAACTGTAGCAGGTACATCAGCAAATCCTTATGGAGGAAAGAAAAAAAAAACAAACATAAAAGGAAGTAAATTAAGGGTGTCAGTTAAAACAAACTAGAAGTCCACTATGTTTTCAAAATTCTAATTTATAGCAAAAAGTGGTCAGGATTTAGTGAGCTGTAACAACATGGAAACTGAGGTCTCCCTAACAAGTAATATAGAATAGAAAAACTGGTGTTGGATGCAGTTTGACTCCCAAAAGATACTGAATTACCATACCCTTTTTAGTTACTCAAAGACAGTTAGTGCTAATTTAGTGAATATTTAAGCACAATTACTACTTTAAAATTCTCTTTAGCTAAGTTGCCCTACTTGCTTTCCGCATCCACAAATAAAACCCTTTTCAGTTTGTGACTCCCAAGAAGAAAATTCAAACTATCTCTGGGTCATGGTATCCTGAAGTGAGATTCTCTCCGCTCTTATGGACTTTCATTTTAATCCTTTGTGTAGATGGGGATTCAAAGAGGAAAACCCACATATCTGATTTATTTTAGACTGAAGAACAGAAGTTTAATCTTGCTGTTTAAAATGAACTTGTTGCGTATACTATTCATAAATTCCTTCATTTACCTACTTTCAGATACCTTGTAAAAGGTATATTTTTAAAGTCAAAGAAGTATTATCTTGGCTACTGAAGCAGGCTTGAGAAAGTATGATATATTTATGCTCCCTATTTTAAACTCAACTGATTGCTAAGGATTCAAGAGTCATGGTAATACATTCAAACCTGGCTTTTTTTTTTTTTTTTTTTACGGTCAGGAGAAAATAAAATATATAAATAACTGAAAATTAACAGATTCTATTACATGGGCTCTACTCACAAATCAGAGCGCATGATATTCTAATTAGTATACAATTAGAAACACCTTATTTCCCCAGATGCTCTTCTACTTATTTTCTTTAGCAAAAGAATATGACAATATACTGCTTCAATTTACCAGATGGATTTGCTGAAAATCCTTTAGTAGACTATTTAAGTTCAGAGCACTTCTATGCAGGTTAACAATCAAAATTTATCAGGGGTTTCTGGGGAGAACATACGGTTGTTTTATCTTGTTTGACTAAACCAGCTATTGCTGGCTGTTCATGCTACGACAATTATCAACGAATGACATTTAATAATGTGAAGACTTTGCTCCTCAGAGAGCTTACAGTAAATAGCAAAACAGTGAATTATTTGGTGTTTTCCTTCACTATTACTCCCTTGAATGCCTCGAGACGTAGCAAGCATTTCAAGTACTCAATGCAACTAAAACTCCTGAGACCAGCTGACTCTTCCCTGCACCCACAGACCAGCGAATACCTCATCATCAGCCTGCTGGAGCCTGGCAACAGCATAGCGCCGAACTGTTGGGTTGGTGAAGTGGGATGACAGAAGTTCTAGAGAGTCTTCCACATCCATGGGTTTCCACTTGCCCAGTAGCTCCAGGGCTTGCTTTGCCTCTTGTGGTAGATCCCAGTTGACACATTTCAAGAATTTTGTCAGGGCCTTACCAGAAAGAGATGGGACAATTCATCAGTAAAATGTCAGGCTGAACAAATTATTTCAAAAATTAATGTTTTGCATTAAGGTAGAACTAGATTCAGATTATATTTACATAAGCACAGACTTTGCTGATATAATTGACAATACAATATTGAGTTCTTTTAATATGTCCCAAAAAACAGCAGTTATCCAAATAAAATGTAAAGATAATTGTTCCTGCTCTATCACAATTAGCACTACATAAAAAAATGCCCACTGATGAGGGATTATTTCATTATTCATTTCACTCTGGGTTTTTGGTGTGTTGCTCCTTACTCCTGCAATACTAACCCTTGTCTAAAAGAGATGAAGAAGCTCCTCCTAAATAATTTTTTTCTGCTGAAGACAAAACTGGCAAAACTGGCACATTAAGCTGACCGTCAGTGCCTGCAGAAAGACTACTGCAGTAATACCCAGTTCACTCAATTTAATGGGAAAAATGTCAGTCACTAATTTTTAAAACATTAACATTACAGAACAAATAAAATAATCTTGGCTAGCTTCTAAGACACTGAAGCTCTGTATCTCTGCAAGGACAGGATACTGTAGAAAGACTGCCAGATGATGCTCTTCTTTCTCTAAGAAGTTTTGTCCAACAATTCCAGATCATTACTAGATGATCTTCAAGGTCTCTCCCAACCCAAACCATTCTATGATTCAACTTACCTTCTCCTGATGAGTAAGGTAATATCTGAATTTCCAAACCAAATCCTGTTCCTCATAAGTTAGCTGCTTTGTCGGTGGATAACTCACTATGATCTAACAGATACATGGTCAGAAAGTGAGTTTAAAAACATCAACAGGCAAATAACCAGCAAGTTAATGGAGTACACTATGACAAAGCACAACACTGACAGCACACAAAAAAAACTAGGGTATAAAAAAAGAGCTTTCCAACAACACAAAGTTCTCATGCTATCACAGTGACGCTCCTTGGCTATGTGTGTGATTGAACTGGCAGTGCAGGAGAACATACATGGTTACTTTAAGATTACCATTCACACCTACGTGGTATGCACAAAAGACACATTCTTACCCACCCGAAACTGTTTCACAAAAAACTGAGCAAGTACCTTCTGCTCCTCTCTGAGCTGGACCCTTCTAACTAAGCCCTTGTAACAAACACTTCACAGCACTTCATCATTAATGGTTTTCTATAAACTCAAATTAACTTGCCACCGATTAAATATATTATGACTCATAATATATTGTCAAATATATTATCACTAAACTACCTAATAAAATTGAATTTAGCCATCATATGACTGACTTACATTAAGCTGATCTCGTGTAGTTGCATTAGGCTTCAGGTCATGATCAGAAGGTCCACTTCTTAAACTTCGAGCAAGCTTGTGATGTTTGCTTTCTACTAAATTCTCCTAAACGCAGAGGATAAGTCAGTATTCATAAGTACTTATAAGTCACAGAAAATTAATACCGAAATGAAACCATCTAGCGAAGATCACCAGCCTCTTGAAAAATGCATGGCAGTTAAAATTCACATAAAAAATTCCTGCATCTTCTGTCCTTTTGTTTATTTGTTTGTTTTACAAAACACTCCGGGTAAAGGGTTGTCAGGAATTTTGAGGGCTTGTTTTGGTTTATGACTTCACACAGTTAACAAACTCTACCTCGCCTTCCGGTGAATTGCTGCAAAAGGTAAGCGTTTCAGTCAACACATACATGATTGACAGCACTCAAACGTGCCAGACACTTCAAAAACATCTTTTTAGGATGATGTTTGCAGCATAAAGCTTTGTATGCAAGAAGAACATCTCAAAAACTTGTCCCACTGTTAATACCATGTTAGAAACAGTAGGAGAGACAGTAGGAGCCACAGTGCCAACAAGATTTCAGCAGCCAAGGCAGTTTCCAGCATTGTCAGACTTGCTCTTGCAGTGTTAGATTACAAGGTGCTCAAACAGTGTTGCCAGTACAAGCCCACTTACATTAAGGTTCCCAAAGCTGCCAATACCAGTCCCACTGAATTGGCATCCACAATAATGGAAATCTTTTCTAGAACTGTATTTAGGCACTGTCTACATGAAAGACAACATACAAGAGAGCGTAGGGAGAAAATATTTTAACAGATGAATTGACCAAGAGCTACTGCACCAGCCTCTAAAATTCTACTTTTCTTTTCTTCAGCTCCCTCTTACCTTACTTTCCCACCCTCTGACCTCTTTTGCCAACAGTCCCCCTTCTCTGCTTCCCTATGTACACCTCAGAAGCAAGCACGTTAAGAACGGAAAGGAGCAGATGAACATAAGCACTAAATCAATTATTTTATTTTAAACCAGCGGCAGCAGAAAAAGGAATTACAAAATTCAAACCCACTGATCAACTGGTCAAATACACTTTTCCACTGGAATTTTAAAGTATTTAAGACAGCAAGCTTTCATCTCTATGAAAAGTTGAACAAAAATATAGATGGCATTACATGAAGCATGCTTACCATAGACATCTGGGGATCTGGAATCTTAACAATTTCAGGACTTGTTAGAATTGGAGTTGACTCATCACCGTCCTAAATGATAAAAAGTTAAAGACATATTAACCATATTAACCAACTATCACATTAGTGCACAGTGAATTGTACTACAGTGAAAGAATGATGCAACTGCACCCTATTGACATTTGACAGTTATAAAGGGAAAAAATAAAATAAAAGAGGAATTATTTTTATTTTGCCCAGATGACAAATACTGTGGCAAGAGAGATGGAAGTTCACCCAAGGATATACAGCTTGGCAACTCACTACTGCGCTGGCCTCACAGATGAGTGGAAAAATTTGCCATTATCATTCCACATGTTCTCTGCAAGCACAAAACTAAAACAAACCAGGCTCTGTATTTCCACCAAAACAAAATCATCTCCTAGAAATAACTGACATGTTGCAGGAAAAAACTTCCTAAATGTTCAACACAGACAAATTTAAGAAGATATATATGCACCTATCTATAAGGGTTCCAGAGGCCTTCCTTAGATGGGTCTAACCTAGGTTCATAAATAAAGGAAGGGAAAAGGTAAAAGATTCTTGTTTGAACCAGGCAGAAGAAAAAGAAATTAAAAGCCTTTCACCACATAACAAAGCCAGTAACTCTGTTGTTCTTCCTCAGTTTATCATAGCAGTGTGGTTTTGGGCTTTTTAAACTTAGAAGTGTAGCTAGGCATTAATCACCATGAGACACGAAAGAACATTTAATTTAAAAGACAGTATAAAATAGTAAAACACAAAACAAGACAACACTAGCATAATGTGTGCTATGTTCTATTTATACTTAATTTTTTTTTCATTTTCTTTGATGTAAATTTCAGCCCAGAATAAGGTTCTTTTGTCATATCAAAATTTCCCTCAGTAATGTAACTTTGAGGTAACTTCTGCCCCCACACTCCTTTTTTTTTTTTTCTTTTTCAAATCACATATGCCTCTTGGGATAGCTTTTGCTTCTATAATTTTCAGAGATAACTTTCAAAGGAGAGGCTTGTTTCAAGGGGAAGAAAAGAATCATTCATCACCAATGAAAAACATGAGTTAAAATTGCCATTAACCTTCCAGTAGAAACATTTTTTTCTCCAACTACATAAATGTTGTGTCACTGACTACGGTAAAATATCTCTTATTATTAAAATGCATGTTCAGAAAGACACTTGTATTGCATTTCTTAGTGTCCTATGCCTTTTTGAAGTAACAATTTCACGGTCAAAATAAAAGCAGTAAGAACACATACATCCTTCCTAGTTAAGGGAAATAAACGTACAATCTGGATGTGGCTGGTAATGGTCCCAAAACATGAGCAGGGTTGCTTTTCCAACTAGTCTTAAAGAAAAAAACATGCATGCAAATGTTGAAGAGGACCAAGATGACATTTGCTTACAGTTTCTCTGCTCTAAAACCGTAATGCCTAAATAATGAACTTTGCTTTGACCTAATTGAATAGAATTCACAGTATTTCCAAGTACTTCCATAATAACAAAGCACTGCTGCCTCACTGTAACAATAGACTGAACTGAGCTGGAGCTACAGTGACAGATCAGCATTCACTAAGTTGTACTAAACCTCTGCCACCTCATCAGACAGAATGCTCAGATCATGTTGATGCAGTTTTACAAAGTCAAACTATATAAAAAACAGTGGAAGTGTTGGGGTGGGAAATTCTTATCTTCATAAACGCATCTGATGACAAGAGACAACAGAGTGATTTCTATCCACTAATTCTTTATCTTCCAATTCAAAACCATAATAAGGCTGCAGTCTGACTTCACCTTAATGTAACAACAAAGGATTCCAATGCACCAGTGACAGGTTTCCACTCCATTTAGAACCTTCACATAAAAATCCTGTATAAGAAACTTGACACAGGAGTGGATTCAGTAGCAACTAACACAAGCATTCAAAATCCTACTGAGGCACTTTTAAGATCCATGTCCCACATGGATTCTCTAGGGATAAGCACCATATACTACTACATCTTTCCCTCAGTGAAAAAAACCCCAGATACTTAAACTGTAAAAGGAAAGCTTGCAGGCCTGTAAAAGTGGAACACCTACCCCACCATCAGAAGTCTATGACGTCTACTAACAACTCAGAACTCATCAGCATGAGAATGACAAAAGCACTATTACCTAAAATCTGCTTAGTTACAAACCTAAAAGAAGGTGCAAAGCCTTCCAGTGCCTCATGCCCAAATGTTTGTAACACCCTCTAAAACAAAGATTGGGGATTTTTTTTCCAAGACTAGTGTTAGAAGAATGATTTCTACACTCATTGCTGGCATCTCTTTTTTGAACTTTTCAAAAGAATAATTATAATGACTGCTCCTTAAACTCTTTGAATGCAGTTAGACTACACTTGGCAGCAAAGCTGAAAGGTTCTAGGCACATAGGTCAAGCACCAGGAAAATTGTTCCCAGTGTTTCACTGTGTTACAGAACAAAGCCTCAGCCAAAGGCTATGAAACCAAGTTTTGCCAAGCATTTGTGGGACAAGTGTCAGGAGTCAACATTTTCCAAGAGACTGTTTCATGAAAACCTCGAGAAAGCACAATTACATGAATTTTCTGGTGAAGGATGTCAACTGCTGAACTACCCTTTGGACTGGATTAATATACAGCTCTACCTGGAGAGCATCACGTGCAGCACCATAACCCTGACCACACAAAGTTACAAACCATACCAGTGCCTAAATTATCACTTGAATTTGGTCAGGTGTGTGCTTTTGAAGTGCCTTTCCTGTTATGCCCATGCAGTGAGCTTTAGCTAACGTCATGGAAGTTTTAGAAATCCCTGACATTCTCCAGCTGCCAACAGTCATCGAGCCCCGTGGGACGTGATGAAAGCCAGTCCCAAAAACAAGAACATGGTGCAGACACTGGGCCTGCAGCAACCTCCTCACTCCATGAATCTGCTGCTCTTGGCTGCATCACTCCCCACGGCACCCAGAACCTGGGATGACCTGCTATTCTGCCACCAGAAAAGCAACGTCAACACTGAAAAGCACTAACTTGCTTTAAACTGCTGTGTTACAGAGCTATAGAGTTATTTCACTACATTAAGGTCAGTGTGTGTGACTTTGTATAAATATTAGAGTCTATTTAGGACAGTTGATAAAATTTGCAGAATTGTCCAAACCAGGAACATTCTTCTCTGCTTACTTGAAAATCAGTATTGCAACATCAGTAAATAAGAAGGTTCTAATTATCTTATTATTTAACCAAAATATCATTTCAAGTAACACCAATGAGATCCAACTTCTCCCAAGTAAATCGACAAGCAGTGGTGCAGACATTACTTTTTCTTTCTTTAAATCCACGTAAAAGTCTCTGATAATCAAACTTCTCAGTAAAGTGGGTGAAGCAGTGCAATCATTTATTCAAACCCAAGTTTCACTTTGAAACCTGCCCAAAAACACATAAATGATAAATTCTGATGTTATTTGTTCTTGGTAAGTCACACTGAATTTCTGCCTAAATGGAGAACCCGAAGAGATTCTCTCATTACTCGCAGACTCTATCCCTCACGAATTGGGTGCTGTATTAAAACGAAGTCAACAGAGAACACGGAAAGAGACACTGCCACTTCACTTCATTGTAATTGAATGTCGAGTCAAAGAATCTCAAATTCTATCAGCCGCTGTTTAACAGGCTACTTCTTCCTAAACACTTGAAAACAAATACATCAACAGAAGTGTGACAAGTAATCTCCACTTCGACTATCGGTCACAGGCAGGTGACAACAGAACCCACTTTCATTATGCTCAGTGCACTGGATTGGTGATGCCCCATACATATACTGCAGGCTGTAATTGGAAGCATGACAAAACCGAGGAAACAGGCACTAATTTATGTACCATTTCCTACTGCTGTCAGAAAAGGGTCAAGAACTTGTTGAAAAGCTACTGAATAACAACAAATCCCTCAAACTGCAGTTAGTTATAGCTCTAATATGTACTGTTACACATTCAATTACTTTATTTCCACAAGAGATGACAATTCATAGTTATGCTATTCCATGCACTCTTATTATGGGTCAGAAACATCCGTTAAAAGAAAGGTGCATGCTCAAACTCTGAATCTTCTTTCCTGCACCTTGCACATCTGTAAGACTACAATGATGGGTAAAAAAAAGTGAGCGTAAATCAGGAAAAGAGTGTGAAAATCAGGAACAATTCATCTATAATGGCAGGTTGCTGGGGGTAAGGGAGAGAAGTCATTTTTAGGAATGTCATGTTCAATTATGAAAAGAAAAAAGCCAAGAGGACACAAAGCCACATGGTAGCCATGCTCATCTGATTGCACCTTGAGGAAGGTACAGCACATTCTTTTATAAAAATCTGTTGGTAAAACATATGTTTTTATCATGTTCTGTTATGCTTTCCAGACAAATATTTCTTTGAATTCCACAGAAGTAAGGAGTTTTATGTTGTTTCGGGGGGGAATCTGACACATTGTAGGTTTCATTGTGATTTGTAACAGAATGGAGTTTTGTCTCCCACAATTGCTGGTTCTACCATAAGTGTACAGAAGCACTATGAAACAAGCTGTTCTAAAGGCAAAAAGATTTTGAAATGTGGACAGGGGTCTCATGATCAACTACAGTCCAAAAAATGAAACGCTAAAGAGCTAACCTAGCCATCTGCCCAAGGCACAGTTTCACTACAATTTCCAAAATTCACCAAGAAACTAAACTAAAAGAAAAACAAAGCAACAAAAAGAAAATCAAATCTACTGCCCCTTCCCGAAAAAAAAAACATCAAAAAAAGCCCAACCCCAAACAACAATACCCCCAAAAAACACACCCAAAGCTCAAATGAAAAACAAGCTTTAAGTTGCAACAAATCATACAGTTGAAGCAGATTCTAACCTGTACCTTCTCAGATTTTTGTTATATTTTTGGAATCCTGCTTTTGGCCATTTATTACTGTATTTTTCACTACCTTCTTCAAGGATTTTAAGTTAGATCACAGCTTTTCTGTCCACATCAACTGGTAATGTTGTCACACGCAGAGAAATACTTGTAATCCATTTCCCACTGTATTAACTTTTTTGTGTACTGAATTACACTCTCTAAAATTCTCAGAATAGATGCTCCTTAAACTTAGTACTTCTGATCTCAGAACGACTCTAGCCTCTTTTTCTACCCTCTTTCTCCTTCCCATGAAGCTGCATTTCTCAGTAACTTTCTGACTTCTTACAAATCGAAACATGCTGAAAAATTTAAGAGGCATTTTTCTTTGAAATGAGATTGCAGATATACTGTTTTTTTCTCTCTGAGTGGGTCTTTCCCCAATACACAGGTCCATAAAAGTACTGATAATGCCTTCCAGTGCCACACTGCTGACTGTTAATCTCACTGTTAATCCTTCACCCCATTAAATTCTAACTCAAAAAAAATACTGAAGGCACTGCTTTGGAGATCTGTTTTGTAAACAGCAAGAAAACATGCAAGACATTACAATTCAGAAGTGTTTTACTCAATCACTTCCACAGTATTTTCAGCACGGAACACTAAGCTTCTGTATTTGTTCATTTTACAGAAAATATTCACCAACAGAGATCCCACGCAAAGTTTTAATAACTCATCTTTTATAAAGTTACCACTCAATGCAGCTACGCTTCCTCCTGATGAAAGTCATAATTCTACATACAGCTACTCTGAAAGTACTGCTGGATGACTGAAGGAACTATAAATCAAAATCTTTTTAATCACTCACACTTGTTAAATTCTGTAATCTCGAACTCTGTTACACAAATGACTGACTTCTGCAAACCTGTTGCATTTATACACTTTGATTTGTATGTACATAAACAACTGCCAATGACAGCTGTCTGCTGCTATCCTGCAGCAGAATATTTCACCTCAGCAGAAAAACTCCATCCATTTTAGGTGCATATGTTGCTTTTTAAGGACGACCATAAAGCCTGCAAGGCACATACCTTCTCGTAGTAAACTATTCCATATTCTTTATCATCACACTTGACGCAGCGGAATTCAATCATCAGGTACATAAAATTGGAACTTCGCTTTTCCCTCTGAGAAAAGAATCACCACAGATGTGTATCATTTATTGCAGGGCATCAATCTTGAGCATTCTCAGTACAGCAATTACCCTACTTCCCTTGTACTGTAACTGATTAATTAGGTTATCAGTTGTTGTAGCAATTATTCAGTTAATCATTTCACAGCACTACTGGAGACCATATCACCTCCTTCCTGACATTCTTACTACCTCACATTCCCACTTCATGATAAACATCCACATGTAACAGATAAAAACCTTTTTTTTTCATCAGAGCCTTCCAACTGTGGGCTAAAGGTGTGAAAAAATGTAACAAAGGATTACCAGGTGACCGCTGGGTTGCTGGTGTTTGCTTTTTTTTTCCCCCTAAATCATTACATACAATTATGCACGTCAAAGACAAAAAACAGAAGATATGAAAAAAAAAAAATCACTTTTTTAGGCAACATCAGGCCAAGTGAGCCTGGACTACAAGATTAGATTTGCAGCTCATTCACTTTCAGAGGAAGATTTGCTCATGTATGCATTTTTTAGACGCTTTACCTAGAAAAAGTGCTTAGAATTTTAGAATCTAGGTGGAAAACAAGAAAGAAGTTATTATACATAACCACCACCAGGAATGTACATTTAATAAAAAAAAGCACACATCCCTTTCAACAGTGAGCAATTTCAGTTCATTTAATGTATTAATAATGGATTGACTTTACAGCACAGGCAAAGTGGTTCTCTATTTAAAGCACTGCTCTACAAACTAGTAACTTTTATTTTTCTGTACTTTTGCAGTAAGTGAAGAGGGTAAAACAAGAAAAGAAAAAGGAGGGGGATAATTTAATTTAATTTATTTTTCTAAAAATAAAAACCTAAAATATTCATAAGAGTTTATAAAAACACAAATTTTAGTTAAACAAAAAAATCTGATTCCAAAAGGTCGAATTATAAATAAGACAACAAAAATCTCACAGCACAAAGCAGAAAACAGAGTTCTGTGGTGCAAGAGGAATATAATGAGTTAAACAGTTGGAAGGTGATTTTGCTCAGTGAGGGCTAAAACCTCGTTCAGATATTTAACTACCAGATTATTACTTTTTTTAATAACCATTCAAATCTTACAAATGTCTTTCCTCAGTACCCAAAATTAAAATACAGTTGGACAGGTCTAGAGGCAAGGACCAGACTGTATGTCTAAAAAGCTTCCCATCACAACCTAAATCCTAGAGCTAAGTTAGCCATGCCGAACGGTTTGCTCCAAGCTGTTCCCAATTATTAATAAAGTCTGTCTTCTGTGATCAAGTTCACTTGAAGTTGAAAACACGTAAGACACTTGTCCGTTCTGGTGGCTGAAAACCTGGACATGACCCGGCACTGTGAGTTGACTGCTCAGAAACCAACTTTGTGCTGGGCTGCACCCAAAACGCCCTGGGCAGAAGGTGAGGGGGGAATTCTGCCCCTCTGCTCTGGTGAGACCCCACGTGGAGTGCTGTGTCCAGCTCTGGGACCTCAGCACAAAAGAGATGTGGACCTGCTGGAGTGAGTCCAGAGGAGGCCACTAAGATGCTGTGAGAGCCGGAGCACCTCTGCTATGGAGACAGGCTGAGAGTTGGGGCTGTTCAGCCTGGAGAAGAGAAGGATTCAGGATGACCTCAGAGACCTTTCCAGTGCCTAAAGGGGCTCCAATAGAACTGGAGAGGGACTTTGGACAAGGGGAAATGGCTTCACACTGGCAAAGGACAGGGTTAGACTGGATATGAGGTGAAGTTCTTTACTGTGAGAGTGGTGAGACGCTGGCACAGGTTGCCCAGATGGTAGAAACCTCATCCTCAGAAACATTCAAGGCTAGTCTGGACAGGCCCAGAGCAACCTGATCTGGTTGAAAATGCCCCTGCTGATTGCAGGGGGGATGGACTACATGGTCTTTAAATGTCCTTCCCAACCCAAACTATCCTGTTATTCTCATTATTGCTGAAATAAAATCATCTTTGGAAGCTAAAGATTTATTTATCATATACAGCGGCAGTTGAAAAATAGGACAAGTACTTGAGAGTTGGTATCCTAAGCAAGTGAAGGTTCCACATTAGCAAGTCAAAACCCCCCAAAATTACAAATCTGATGTTCAGTAACCTACCTCATTGATCATTTCTATTTCTCTAAAGGTCAGTCTGTCCAGCCAGTCCACTTTCACCATGTGACCTTGCCGATGAGACTTAGTGAGCTGCATGAAAAAAGACAATGATAACATTGCTGCATCCTCTCAAGATCGGAATTAAATTTTAAGGCAGATGACTTATGAAAGCAAGCACGGCATTAGCTCTGAATGCCAACACTCATTCATTTCACAAACATGTTATCTGATTTAGCTTTTCTGATTCTTAGTTCCTATTAAGTCTACTAGAGACAAGGTTTAAAATTTTTCACTGAATATTAATCCTCAAGTATAGTTCTTGGCTCTACCAAAGTAAAGAACTAATCAAAAGCAGCCACAAATTAAAAAGCAACTAAAAAGCTATTCAGTTGGGAGGAAAATCCTACCTTTTTAATTTTTTTAACCCATTTCCTGATTTGCTAGGGACTGGCCATTTCAAAAGGCACTAAATAGTAAACTAGCCATGACCATTTGATGTCCTTTGTTCTGAACTCGTTCCATGAAACACAGAAACACAATCCAGTAACAACTATGAGACTCTCTGCTTGCAGCAGCTGATTCACCTGACATTTCTTTAGGCTCTAGACCATAGCACAGATCGATACAAGGAGTTACATTTTGATGTAAACTTTGGAAGACCACTGAAACTTCTAAGAATTAATTCCATTCAGTATACAGTAGGGCCTTTCTCATTTAGTTTGTCTCCAGTAAACTCTGGAACAGCTCATCTTTATATCCCACAAACTTCAGAAACTTAACAGTACAAAAAGAAAAGGAAGGACGACACAGGGGACATGGCAAAGTCTAATTCTTAATAACAATTCAGGATGTGGGATGTAAACAAAAACAAAAATTCAGTGTCTGGGTTCTTTTAGCTTAGCTGAATGTAACGTAAACAGGAGCACAATACAGTAATAATTTTTTTGCCATCTTATGCTATAGTCTGCAGCCAGTTCACCAAACTTCATCTCAGTAACACTGCAGAGACAGAATGTGGCAGGACTGTACTAAAAGGATAATACAGAACTTGGCCTTTGCCTCATATGCAACTTCATAATACACTTCAAAAGCAGAGAACCAGAAGCAAGCACACCAGTTATAACCCAAAATGCTGTTTCAGGCAGGCTGGACACCATCACTTAATGCATTCAAAAATATCCTACATAGTGCACAGAAAAGATCTTCTCACTCTCAACAATGAAGAAATTCCTTAGCAATGAAGAAATTCCTTAGTCTTCCATGTCCATCACTTTACCCACTTCTAAGTTACTCCCCACTGTTTTTTTATCTAAGAAAAGTATTTTTTTATTGAGTTACTCAAGGTAGCCCCTCTAAGCCCCACCTTAAACCAACATATGAAAGTTTTCAGAATACCACATACTTGCATATAGCACTGACACACAGATTGAGGATAGCATTTATCAAAGTCCTGGGGAAAAAAATGTTATTTACATAACTTGGTCACAAATTCTTAGTTCATTTTCTTGTTCACTGCACTAGAGAATAAAGGAAAAAAGTAATTTTGTATGTTTTAGAAGAAAATTATTAGTATCTTAAACCTCTAAGCCTCCCTTACAGCGGAAAAAAGTCACAATACATAATTAGATCTGCATACAAGACCCAGAAGATCTGCAGACTTATATGTACACATGAAGAACTGTTCTCTTGGACTAATATTTAAAGCTTAAAATAAGACAGAAGATAGTGCATTCCCTTCAGGAAGAGAACTATTCATCATCTGCTACTAAATAGGAGGCATCCCTTTAGATAGTGCCTCAACATTATTATTACCTAATTTCATTCAGCCAGCAGAAGGTCCGAGGGAAATGAATGGATCAAAAAGAACTTGAGAGTAGTTTTAGTTGAAGCAGAATAAATTAAAGCACCACTCATGAGAGAGATATTCTAATAGCATTAATATTTGAGCATGGTAAGGTACCCCACACTCTTCTCATTAACATTCCTTAGTACACAAAAAAATCTGCATTCACAATGCCTCCAGGATGCCAAGCCATGGTTTTTCCATCAGTAGCAATTTTACCAGCAACATTCATGTGTTTTGTAAGAGCACAATGGTATGGTACCTCAACACAGAAGGGAATACTTGACATAGTACCAATTATTCAAGGTAAAAGGATGCAACTCCTTCACCAGCTAGTCACTGTCACTTTTATGAAAAATTCTCTGTAATAATAAATACCATATACAGACACAGACCCAGAAGTATGTCCAGAAAAAAGTTATCTTTTAGATGGAGAAAAGGTCCTTCAGCAAGCTCTTCTCAAGAGTTACTTGTTATCCTCTTACCTATGTTCAAATATACCTTTACACAGTAGCACGAGGAGGCATTCAGCAACTGACAAGTAAGTCACAGAGAAACAGAAGCCGATTGTGCTCAAACAATGGCTATTTAGGAACGACACAACACAAGAACCTCCTCTGCTGCGTAAACAGCTGTGCAAATGAAAACTCTCACAGACACACCACTGAGAAACCCTACTCATTTCGTTAGCATCAGTCTAAATATAAAATGTTTTTATAAAGGACCACAACAAAGTACCAATGCAAACACTCTCCTCTTTCATAAATTAGTATCTCCCAAAACAGCTTTCAGAAGAAAAGAATGGGGGCAGTGATGTTATCAGCTTTTTGTTAGCCATTAACAACAACTCTCAAATAGGATGTGAAAGAAGAATTCCCTCCTATTGCTCAGAGGCTATTAGGAAATGCCAGAAGAACAGGCTACAGCATAACCAGCTATTTTTAAGACTGAAACAGTCTACATTATTTGTGCTTCTTGAGCTAAGGAGTATAAATAAGAAAGTGCTAATGTTTGCTTAACAGAACTACCATGAAAGGGAAGGTCTGCACTGTAAAACCCTTTCTCAGAAACCCACTGCATACATCATGTAACCATTTGATGAACTGTAAACAAGCCTTGATGTTTAGTGTCTGTCTATGGAGATTCTGTAGGCCAGAGGGGATTTATTCTACTATGATCAAGTGTCTTTAATGAGTTTTCCATTATAAATTCTATGTGAACTTATAAAAGACAGACCCTAAATGAAAGTTAATTTATTGCTGTGATAAATATCTAGATGAAAAAGTGGATCTGTTTGGCACTGGACCTATTTTCTTTCACTGGAAGTTGTACAAAGGTGAGGATGAAAATTAGGAGACCAAGACTAAGAAAGCTCAGAGAGTAAGTCGACTGAGCGGTTTGCAAAGTTTTGGGGTAATCTTACCTGAGTAATCAGAGATCAGCTAGTAAAACATTTGAATAACTAACACTTTCTGATCAATTCCAGCAGTAGTTTTGATGGCAAGAATATACACTGTCATCAAAAGTATGGAGAATAAAATACTAAGATGAATATATATTTATGAGCTGAAATGAATGAAACTTTTGAGATTCTATTCAAGTCCTTTCTAATGCAGAGATATGTCACACACATGTAAACACTACACCAGACAGCCTTAAAGCTGAAGGATGGCTTCTGAAAGAAACTAGACTGTCCTCAAAAGTTACTGGTAGGAGGTGCTCTTACTAAATCTGATGGAATTTGGATGTTAAGCTGCTACAACACAATGCTTTGTGTATTAGAAGGTACTTATAAGTCCCCTTTAAAAAAAACACTTTGGAGGCAAAGGAGCATGATCTAGTTCGCTCCTTTGTATAAATCCTGTGAAATACCCAAACAACCAAAGGAAGGGAGCGTTCCTGTGAAAAAACAGAATGGGGAGCCTGTCTTCCTTTCACTCCAGTGAAGTGCAAGCTTGTCACATACATTTTAAAGGCTACTTGCTATTCCATTACCTTTGCCAAGCGGCTCATTTGATCTTCAGAGACTGTGCTGCTGGTTCTCCCGGGAGTTTTGGTGGGCTCTGAGCCATCAGCTTCCACGTTGGGCCAGACTTTCAAGTCATGCATTCCTTGTCGAAACATCCTGCAGGGAAAAATGCGGAATCACTTCAGTAAATTCAAAGTAATGCAGCTGTCAGGAATCAAAATACAGCAGCAGCTGCAGGAAAATGAAGCAGCTTCATTTGCCAAAACTACAAAATTTCAAAATTGAACTCTACTGTAGAAGTGACTTGCACCTCGTGCCCCCTACAGCCTTCATTTTACTGGCACACGGAGTTTAGAAGAAATATTAAGTCTGAGATAATTTACTTGGCAAGTGGAAGAAAAATGGGTAATTCCTGAAGTCAGGTACAAACACAGCCTGAGGACAAAGCTCGATCTTCATAGCTTTACTATTTGTAACAAAGCAGAAAGCATTCCTCTTCATGCGCAAATTATAATAGTAACTTTAGGTCTGCCAACCCCCCCAAAAAAATCTGCTAAAAAGCTACCTAAGTTTCATTTGAAGGTCAACTGACATAAAGCAGCCTTCTGAGCTGCCAAACAAAAAAAAACACACCAAGAAAAAAATGCCACAACCCTTCACACACCATTTTCTCCATCTATGCTTGAAATTGAATTGATAATTGAAAGTGTGCAGTGAATAGAACTTTGCAGGGTAATCGACCACGTTTTCTCTCTGCAAAACCCTGCTTCCCTTGCATATTTGCGCACCTATATAAAGAAGCACCTATAAAAGATGCTCCAAGAAATCAAGTGCATTACCTTTGCCAGAGCTGATCACTTTAACAACTTCAGGTAAATACAAGTGAAAGGAACACCTTAAAAAGTCAACTCTTAACAGTGAGGACTGTCTGACCTTAAATTTACGCATCACTTTGTGGAATACAACTACCAAGGTTTCCATTTACAAACTACAAAATTCAAAATTTTTTTACTGCTGTCTCTCCATTTCCTCCAGGTCCAACATGCTGGAAAAAAGATTTATAAATTTACTTTACTTTTACCTTTTTTCCATGTGCTGTGCTGTGTTCTAATGCTTTAACACACTACCAGCAGTTCAATTTTCTGTCCTAAGACAACGTGAATCTTTTTTTGTCAAAGCAGTATCCTCAATGACAACTTCTCCCTCTACAGCCACTTCCTGCATTCAGGTATCATTAGAACAGCTTTCCTAAAGCTAATCCAAACTTTTTCTGCACTTAAGTTTAACCATATTATTTTTTATCCACTGGTAAGACAAAACAGGCTACTTTTCCCCATTTTCCAGCATTATATGGAAATACTAGGAAAATATTTCTAGTCTTTTTTTCCAGTCTCATTAGTATTTACACTTCCTCCCTCACACCTGTTTGCTAAACACTCGATTATACAGACTCCCAATAGTCAGAAACTTACTTAAAGTCAGTTGTATGGAATGGAACACATCCCAGCTGAGAGGATGAGTAAGGAAAAGAAGGATATAGCAGCATCCCTGATGCACATAAAGTGTTCATGTCACATTTTACAGGAACACTACAATGTTGAACTATCCAAAACTTAACATTCACTCCAAACCACAAAAAGTACCAACGCCTCATAATTTTCCTTGAACAACATCCTATTTTTTCCAGTCTCCTTTGTACTCAGTCAAGATCCTTTCCATGTATCCTCTGTTGGATCATAGAATATTAACTCTGAAAACCCCTGATTTACTGAGCGATATTCCCTATAAATAATATTACATTAACAGCCCAATTGCAAGCCAATTAAATCAATTATTTTAAGTATTCAGTACTGGCATCCATGCATTACAAAAGTATAGATATGATTTCAGCATTTGCTACCTTAAAATCCAACCCTGCAGACCTTAAAAAAGCCTAAATTTTGGTGTTACACAGAAGGCATCTTTTATACCACACTGTCACATGAATGAATCAGAGTCAGGAAGAAAGAGAGTAAATAGTCTATGTATCTGATTTTTCAAACATGTAATTGTTAACATGGTTTAGAGAAGATTTAAAAACTTATCTCTCATAACCACTGCTACCTCACTATTCACAAGTGAGCTTCAAATGCGCACCACAGAAGAAGAAGCACTTTTACCCATATTTCCCAAAGAGTGAGACCGTTGTTCCTCCCACAGGAACGGCTTTACCAGGTCCATACACGTCCCAGATGGTCAGAGCCACCTGTGCATTGCGAGGCAAGTCTGGATACTTCACAGGCAGCTTCAGCCACTCATTCCAGCTGCAGAGAAACACTTTTTATTAGTCATAAAGCTTTAGAATTCAAGTTACTCTGTATTAGTTTATACAACCCAGATTCTCTTCAGAATATCAACTTCTAAGGGCAGAAGGATTATTTTCCTACGGGCTTTAACCATCCAAATACCTGTCTTGAGCAAGACTAAAAGGTTAAAGACCAAAAGAAAAACAGTCTGGCTTGATGACTATGTGACAAGGCTGTCGACAAACAGTATGAAAATGTGCTAGTCCAAGCCTCAGTGGTTACTTACATAGTAAAACATGCCCAGGTAACAATTTTAAAAACAACAAAGTAACAAGAGAAGTAACAATTTTACCACTTACCTATTATACCAAAAGATTGGTGGTGTGCTGTCAGAGTAACACTAGCCAATACAGACACTTGAAAAAACATAACTCATTTGAAAAAGACAGTAGAAACCAAATCTTTCCGACGGAAATAAAAACCACATATATATCTATCCATATAACTTGATGCCCCAGCAACTAAGAGGAATATGAAATAAAAGGCAAGTCACTTACTTCCATCTAGTGCTAAAAGCCTTGTAGGAAGTTCTAACAGGAAGAGCAAGAGGTTTCCCCTCTGCAAACACCTGACAAGTTACATACAAGTCAGAGCAGGTATCTTGATACAGTCCTGAGAACTTCAGCATCGGATCTTCTAAGAGAGCTTTGTAACTCTTTTGTTCTCTTTTCCCTTCCAGACTTCCTCTACGGGAGGGACAGAGGAGAAAAAAAGAGAAAGAGAAAACATAGATAAACCAGAATTTGTTTTATCTATAATAGAAATGCTATTGTATTTCCACAGCTCATATTTAGATAACCCAGTACTAAGGCTATTCTTACTTTGCATTATTTCCTGGTAGTGAAATCCAGATAGCAGAGAGGAACAGAATCCTGATTTAGAGGCGGGAGGGAAAAGCAGGGGAGGCAAGAATTACTTGTTTGCCTTTCAATGGAGATAACTTCTAGTACAATCTGTATATTTTCAAATTAGGAACCTCAAGTAGGGCAACAACGAGATGCCATATGCTGCTATTATCAACAAACCAAACCAAACATCAGATTACATGCATTCCAAACACTATTTGGGGAAAAAAAACCCTCCAAACCTGCTATGGTAAGTAAATCTTAATTTTTAAGATTTATGAAACGTATGACTGGCTTTGTATGTCAGTCATCTCTCAAATCATCAACAAAACAAAGTTCAGTTAAGCAGACTTTTCAAGAAAAACTTGGTTAAAGCCTTGCAACACTTTGCACACTGTTACTGTCACGGCAGAATTTCTTAGGCTTTGGCTAGACCACGATGGAAACAATCAAACACATTGAATATCTGACAGTGGATGCACATGTTAACACAAAAAAGGAATTGTCGTGGTGGTGACAGGAAATAAGATCAACCTTCCAGCAAACAGAAATCTATCTGTACCACAAAAACACTTCAGAGCAGATGAACAAGTTACTTGCAAGTCCCCAGCACTGCACATTCCAAGATGACATACAGTCTAATGCAAAAAAAAAAAAAATAAAAAAAAAAGCGCTAATTTAATTTTGTTTGGTGGAATGAAACAGCAAAGAGGACACATGAATCTGATTCCAGTATCACAGATAGGTTAGGTTGGAAAGGAACTTAGAGATTATCTTGTTCCAATGCCCTGCCATGACCAGGGACATCTTCCACTACCATCACCTGTTCAGTTAAATAACCCTGAATAACTTTCTCAAAGTTAGTTTGCCAGAAAAGTGTAATGTACTTTAAGGTATGACCATCAGGTACACTACATTTTAGAGCCAGCTACATCCTTCCTGCACAACTATAAATATCCCATTGCTGCGATGCAGAAAAGTGACTTAAAGAAAAAGGTAAATACACCAGTGAACGATAATTTCAGCTTAAACAGAAGTGCTTCCATATGTGCAATTGGGAACGTACTTAGGTGCTGCAGCACTTGGTCTTTCCAATAAAAAAAACCGGCTAAGAGCACCTTGCTTTCACGGAAGAACAGGAAGAAACAGGAACGGTGTCACTAGTTTGTCTCCTTCCCCCAACACTGAGGATCGAGCTGTGACACTGCGGTGGCCTTACAGCAAATGAGGGCAACTTGGAGAAAAGACAGGGCCTGGAGTGACAGGATAAGGGGGAATGGCTTCAAACTGAGAGAGAGAGCAGGTTTAGTTGAGATATTAGGAAAAAAATTCTTCCCTGTGAGGGTGGTGAGGCCCTGGCACAGGTTGCCCAGAGAAGCTGCTCCATCCCTGGGAGCGTTCAAGGCCAGGCTGGACAGGATCTGGGGCAACCTGGGCTTATGGAAGGTGTCTCTGCCCCTGGCAGCGGGGGGGTAGGTCTGGATGAGCTTGAAGGTGCCTTCCAACCCAAACCTTCCCGTGATTCTGTGACACCGGCAGGTGAAAAGTTACCAGGCTGCACTGACAACCAATCTTTGCCTCAGAGGACCTGAGCAGACGGAGATCCGCGTTCGCAGCCCAACTCCAGCCCAGCCCCTCGCCCGCCCCGTCCCGTCCCGTCCCCGGACAGCGGCCGCGGGTGCCGTGAGGTGCGGGAGGTGCTGGGAAAGCACCGCCCGCACCCACCCGGGCACCGCCGGGCGCCCAGGAGCGGGCGGCCCGGCCTCCCCCCGGCGGCGGCAGCGGCCGCTCCCCCCGCAGAGCCGCGGCGTCGCTCACTCACATCTTGAGCTGCACGTTGATGTCCAGGTCGCAGCTGTACACATAGTGGAGCCTCTCCGTCTCGCCCATGGCCGCCGCTCCCCCTCAGGGCCGGCGGGCAGCGCCGCTCCCCGCTCCGAGCATGCGCCGCCACCGCCATCTTGAGTAAGGGAGGAAGGAGCAGCACCGGCCCTTTAGCAAAATGGCCGCCGGGCCGTGGCGCCGCGCCCCCTCCCCCCCAACGGGGGGGCGGTGAGGTGGGCGCGGGTTCGGCGGGAGGAGGGAGGGCTCCGGTCCCGCCTGAGGGCGGGTGTGGCTGGAGCGCTTTAGCAGCCCCACAGAGTCGTATGCTGAGTTGTAAGGGACACGCAGGGATCATCCAGTTTAACTTCTGCAACTGCACAGGGGAACCCCGAAGAAGAACCCGCGCCTGAGGGCGTTGTCGAAATGCTTCTTGAACTCCGGTAGGCTTTGATGCTGTGACCACTGTCCCGGGGAGCCTGTTCCTGCACCCATCCGCCCTCCAGGGGAAAAGCCTTTTCCTGATACCCAATCAGAACCTCCCCTGGCTCAGCTTCGTGCCATCCCCTCGGGTCTTCCCACCGGAGATGAAAGTGAAGAGATCGGTGCCTGCCCCTCTCCTTCCCCTCATAAGGATGTTGAAGATCACAATGAGGTCTCCCCTCAGTCTCCTCCAGGTGGAACAGAACAAGTGCCCTCAGCCGCTCCTCTCACGGCTTCCCCTCAAAGCCCTCCTCACCATCCGCACGTCCACCAGTCATAGAATGGTTTGGGTTGGAAAACCCTTAAAGTTTATCTCATTCCACTGCCCTTTCACACCTTCCACTATCCCAGGTTGCTCATCCAGCCTGGCCTTGGATACTTCCAGGGATGGGGCAGCCACAGCTTCTCTGGGCAACCTGTGCCAGGGCCTCACCCCGCTCACAGGGAAGAATTTTTTCCTTTTCTCCTTTTCACTGACAGAGACCAAGCAGAAATGACTGTGCCCTTCTGCCACCAGAGGACAGGTTGATCGCTGAATTCATAGTGATCATTTTGTTATTACCTTGCTGACTTTGGGACTTTTTTTTTTTTTTTCCCTGAAACCTCATCTGTCAGCAGCAGCAGGTGATCAGCAATCACCACCTCACAGAAAACAACATTGCAAAATTTAAGTGCAGAATGGCTCCGCATCTGGCACAGGCAACTAGAAATCACCAGCTTAGATATTGTAAATACTCATGTGATTTTAAAAAGTCTTTAGTGTTTTGAGTATTAATACAAGTTGTAGGCATCTTTAAGTGACAAAAATATAGCTATTATATGCATGTTGTCATTACTATCCTACGCTTATTCTGTCAACGTAGGCAAAGCAGCCAACGCTGACAAAGAGGAGTTTTGTGTTTTATATTCCACCACAGCTGCTGAAATTCTCAGCACTGATGAACAAAAGTGTAGAAAGTGCTGTTTTGCTGTAGCTCATTCTGCTTAGAGCAGGGTTGGTCCTGAGGAAGCAGACAGAGGTGCTCTCTCCCAGCGTAGCTCTTACTAAAAACAGAGATTATTGTCACTTGGAACCGCCATCTTCTGTTCCATTTTCACAGCAAGAATGAGTTACTGGGTGGATGGGGAAGGACATACCAGCTAATCCTCTTCTCTTCTAAACCAGTAGCTCTGAGGGAAGAGGCCAAGGCAGGGGAAGAACACTTCTTGTCAGGAAAGAAGGACTTTTTCACCTCAACACTATTTTTTTTTTCCCATCAGGTGCTGTGACCAGGTGGTCTTTTCTTCCTTATTTCTCCAAAACAATTAGGAAACCAGAGAAGACCATGACCCAGAACCATATATCACTAATATGGTCTTTGCTTTCTAGCGCTGCCACACTAGTATGTGTCATGAGTGCAAAGCATGAATGAAACACAAATTAATAAATTCCTTTACACAGGAAAGGTGATCTTTTATCCAGCTTTTTCTTTCTTAATTTGCCACTTTTTGATCACATTTACAGTTTCAATAGCCCTGGCAACTACCATTCATTTATTGCCTGCCTCATAATTTTTGTTGATTTCCATCTGTTTGGTTGGTTTCTGACCCTTTTTTTACCATAACAAAAATAAATAAACATATTGTTCTTCCTGGGTGTGGAGAAGAAGAAAAGCATAAAAATTTAAAAGACAAATAAATCTCACGGTTCCAAAGCTATCTCTGTGTGTATACAAACAGTTGACTACCTTTATATTTGTGTTCCTATTTTGACATTATTCTCAGAAAAAATTAGATTGTTTTTTGAATAATGGCATTAGTAGTATCAGTTATCTCATAGTCAGTCTCTCCATTACAAGCATTTTTAGTTCATTATTGAACTTTCATTTATTTATCATAGAAAAAAAAAAACCTAAGGGAAAAAAATACAGAAGTCAGCATTAAAAAAAGTTTTTGAAGTGTTTTATTTCCCAGCTTTTTCAGATTTTGGTATGTCTAACTAGATGGGTAAATTAGGTGAAGCAAAAGAAGAGAAAAATGTTTAGCAAAGACATTTTTGACAGTAAAATTGAGGAAAGATGCTATATCAATCAGAAATGTCACTTTATACCACTATCTCATATAAATAACCTTACAGTTATAGGTTCTCAGATACTGCCATAGATGCAGATGGAAAGAGTATTTTTCACCTGAGGGATCCTGAGGTGCTTGGAAAAGGTTGTGATGAGCATACTGTACATATCTGGGAGTCGTTGCCTACGCTGCTGACACAGATCTGCCAGAGGTGACGGGTGCCTGAGCAGGAGCAGTGTCTGTAAATGCCACACGCCTACAGCCAAGGTGGCACAGGGAAGCTGAACAGGGCCCTTTGGTACAGAGCTGCTGCCACTTCTGTGTGTCCTTCAGGGCACTCAGCATTTATGGCAACATCTGTACCGATGAAAACAGCCATAGTGGGCTGTTGCCCCTGGGTCAATTAGTTTGTGTGAGTCACACCTGCCCTTTCTTGACTTGGGCCCTGCAGACTGGTCCATCCGCATCCCAACTGCGATAATACTTGGTCTGTCTTTTCTCTAAGCTTCAGTGACCACTTCTGTGCCCAAAAGACGGGATTGCTTGTGTGTGTGTTTTTCATCTCAAAGTGGCGACGTAGTATCAGACATTGTGTAGGGACTAATGCAGGTTGCCCAGAGAAGTTGTGGATGCCCCGTCCTCGGAAGCGTTCAAGGCCAGTCTGGATGTGGTTTGGAGCAACCTGGTCTAGTGGAAGGTGGCCCTGCCCATTGCAGGGTGTTAAAACAAGATGACCTTTAACATCCCTAACAACCCAAACCATTCTGTGATTCTTTGATTTTATGATGTAAATGTTGTTTGGCTGCCTGCAGGAAGTTCTTTATAGTGTCACGTCTAGGGCAACGGCATGAGGGCACTCTGTGGTGTTTGAGTGTTTATGTTTCTGGCCCACTGAAGTAGGGCAGGATTATTCTGACTGTTGAGTGTCAAACAAGGCACATCCATTCTTCTGTTGCTGATTTGTAGCACTTCCATAAGCAAAGTCTTATGACAACTCCGCTTGGGGTTCTTCTTTAAGAAGACTAATCAGTATATTCCAGAAGGAAGTCTGGGAGTGAAATTGCATGAACACTGTAGAGGCAACTGCATATATGTGATAGAAGGAACAATTTCTGGAAGTGAACCAGAGTGTCAAGATTGCTGATGCTCCAGATGGATTGTGAAACAAATTCTTCATCATGCCAACAGAAGAAGGGACATCTGTCCCTTCTGTTCTTTGGGTGAAATTGAGAGCAGTGTGAGGGACTAAAAGGCCTTGGTCACCTTCTTATGCCCAGAACCCCATTTCAAGCAGTTCTGTGTCCCAGCAGGGCCAGAGAAAACAGTCTTGTACTCCACCCCAGCCCTGCCTGGTTCAGCCATGGACTCCACTGAGCCGATTCCCACTCCTGGACTAATGATCCATCCCCCATGGAGATGCCTGATGCCCAGGTCTGGACATGACCTGGCTGCCCCACAAGTCTTTCCTGCTTTCTGGCAGTGGCACAGGCTCTGGCTTTCTGCCGCAGCACAGCACAGCCACACATTCTTGCAGTGCCCTAACATTTACCTGAGGGTCTGATCTTGAAACACCAATTTAACTCAACACATGCAAGCATTTGCACTGTCTTTAAGAAGAAAGTATACAAAGCGGAATCTATTTTTTTCTCATTAAGACTATCAGTAACTGGCTATCTGCACCTAGATTTAGTTATTTGCTTATGTCATGCCATTCTTGTCATGGGAAAACATATGGCAAGCAGGAGACTGACACTTTTCGTTGCTTTGCTCATGCATTAAAATCTCCCCCATCCCTTTCCTGGTTTTCAGTCTGATAGTTTGTCAGGTCCCAGAAGTCTGGCGAGGTGAAGCATCGAGAAAACTGTGGGAGCAATAGAGAGGTCTGCTACTGACATGATTCTCTTTGGAGGAAATGGAGCTATTTTTCTTGTTTTGAAGCAAAACTATCACTTGCAGTTCATATTCGATTGATAGCCACAGAGAAATATGTAACCTCTTAATCCTACTGAGAAGTATATACCATCTTCCGGAGGACAACACTGATGCCTCGTACACCATCTATTTTCTGTTAGTGGGACTACCACGATACTCAAGAGGACTGATCAGTTCAGGTGTTCAACCAAGGCCCATGTTCTTGGTAAAGATTTTTAGCAGAGTTGCTCTGTTGTCAGACTTGTTTTGTCTTTTCTGAATGTGGACATCTGTCCACTAAAAACTGGACTGAGACAACCAGGAACTATACATAACCCTTAGTACATCTGTCAGATGATAATGACTCTTGGTCACTAATGAACTGGAACAAAACTGACTTGGCAACTGCCTTTTTCCCTCTAGTAATATCCTGAGAAAGACTTTACGTGCTGGATGTACAGCAGAGAGAGTTTCTGCTGTTTGGATACCACAGTGATGGCCAGGTTTTCAGAACCACGGTGGAGAGGTGGTTAACTCGTGGTTGTTGTATTTCCTTTAAAAATGGATAAGAATGGAGTTTTAGAAAAGAACCCATCTTTCCTTTCCTCAAATGTATGTTTTATATTTATTTATAAGGGCATTAAAAGGTCATTGATTCTTATACTATAGATACTGAATGATATTAAGTG